CTCGGTTCCCCTGGTAGTCTAGGATGCGCAGTCTCTGTTTGGAGAGCTGGTCCTTCCGGAACGACGGCAGGAGGGTCTTTAGGGTCGCCCATGACATTATGGAGAGAGCCGATCCGGTGTCGATCTCCATTGAGCATGGCTTGCCGTTGATTTCGACCACCGTGCTGACTTTGTCCTCGATTTCCGCGCTGGCCTGGTCTATGTGAATGCTGCGGCCATCTCGAGGTTCAAATTCGCGCCGTTTTTTCGCGCCGCCTTCTCTCGTTGGTTGTTTCTGGCGCGTTGATTCTGGTTGGCTGCGGCGCTCACGTGGTTGGTGTTTTCTGGGCAGAATGGCTCTACAGACTCGCGCCAAGTGCCCTTTTTTCTCGCAACGCCTGCAAATAGCCTCCCTATATTTGCAGGACAGTCTGTCATGGTGCCCTCCACAGCTGGGACAGCTTCGCCGGGGGCTGCCTGTGTCCTTTCTCTGGTGCTCCGTTCGGAAGATGTCTTCATCCGACTCGGACTCCGAGCTGGATCCGGCGTCTTCTCTGTGCACCGGGGCAGACTTGGGGTTGTCTTTGCTGGTCAGCGGACGCTGCAGCGTTTCTGCGGCTTTTTGGAGGCTTCATGAGCCCTGGCCTCGTCTAGGGCTCCAGCAAGCGTTAAATCAGGCTTGGCGAGCAGGCGCCGTTGCAGCCTAATGTCCCGGACACCACAGATGAGTTGCTCAAGCAACGCATCGTCCAAGTCTCTATAGTCGCAATGGGTTGCGGCTTTCCTCAGGCTGGCCATGTATGCGCTGACCGGTTCTCCCTCTCGCTGTACGCGCTGTCTGAGTTGGTATCGTTGCACGAACTTGGAGGGCACGGGAGCATAGTGAGCCCGGAGCGTGGCCATCAGGGTGTCCCAGGAAATGGTCTGGACCGGCGTTGGCTCGCACAGTGACTCTGCCATCTCGAACACGTCCGGTCTGCAGTGGCTTAGGAAGAGGGCCCTCTTCCGATTAGCGGAGAGCCCTTGCATGTCGCTGGCTTCGAGTGAGCATTCGAACCTCGTCAGGTACGAGACCCATTTTTCGCGGGTCGGATCAAAAGGCTTGGGCGGAACGTAGGCAGACATGTTCGGTATGCCTCCTGTAGTTCGCCTCGTCGCCTAGCTGAAGCTCGTGGTCTCAGTGGTTCGCTCTGTTGTGACCTCAATCCCACCTTCGTCGCCAATGAAGTGGTTCGGGAATAACGAGAGGCACAACCAAGCAAGTGACAACAGCTCTTTAATTTACAGTGAGACTTCAGCAAAAACTCAGAGGCTGCAGCCCTCCTTATATACAATCCTGGAGGGACTGTCAGCCAATCAGAAACGTAGGCAGGTTTGAAACTCCCGCTCAAAAGTATCAATACATAACACTCATTTCTTCCTGATTTTCAGCTATTTTTTCTTGTGTTTGAAGCAGTGTTTCCTGGATCTTTTGAAACATATCTTGTATTACATTAGGTGCCATTTCCAGTTTTTCTTTTTCTTTTTCTTTCCCCATCATGCTATCTATTGTTTTTTGTTGTGAGGGGGAAGGAGTCATTACTAACGTACTAGTTGTAGGCTTTTTCCCTGTCTTTGTTGTGGATGTTGTAGACATTTTTAATATTCGTGTAAAGCTTTCCAACCTTAACATCAATTATTAAGTTATTCCTTAATATCTCTTTTCCCCTCCAAATACTACTTATACACCACACAACTTATATATAGTTATATTATATTGCCAGTTATCCCGATTAAGCAATTAATTCTTGTTCACAGTATAAATCTATTTACTTATCAATCAAGATTTTAATTTAATTTTCTTAATTTTCTAATTAGCAATCTTTTCAGTTACCCCCTTTTTCAATCAGTCTATCTCAGAGATACAGTCAACTCATCTGTTATTTTATATAAAAATCAGTCTTTCACTTTAACAATAATTCCTTGTCTAACTACAATTCCACAATACAATTTATAGCTATAAAAGTATTGTCAACTTATATATTTCTTTCAAATATTAAACTTATTAACTAATTAAACGGTTCAAAATTAATAATTCACTTAATTTTTATTTTCTTTAGTCCTTATTGTCTTCTTGCTTTACCTCTCTCAGTCTGTTCTTTCACAATCATGAAAAACGCAATCTGTGTCGTCTCAGTCTTTTTTTTTTATTTCTTCTCCCAGTCATCGGATCTCTGCATTCAATTTTCAAATCTTTTTTTTAAAACTTGAGTTCTTATTATCCAAAGTTATTTGTAAATCCAGAGTTCGAAATCCCGACAGATCTTCTGTATCCGTGAAATTCACCACTTAGTCCGGTATTTCAGTCTCTGTATTCGGTTTCCAATGTTTGGGGTTTGAATCAGTTATAATTCCCAAGATCAAACAGCTTGTCTCTATATCCACAAAGTCCACAGGCTGCTCCCTTTGATCAGCTGTAAAGGTCCGCAGTCAGACCGCTTCGAGCGCTATTTCTCCTTTTCTTATATTTGCTTAGTCATTCTATGGGTTTCTCTCTTCCGCGCTGTAATTATTCCCCCTTTTTTCCTTCTCCTCTTGTATCGCCGCTGTTATAACTCACTTGTCTTTCTCTGATTCGCTCGCGCGTCCCATTTGCCGTCTCTATTGTAGGTGATCTATCTGACAGTCACTCGGATTTGCTTCCACTTTTTGTTTCGATCTAGGCGGGCGCCATCACTCCTGTCCGCCGATAAGGCCGACTTCTTCTCCACCAATTTAAGAGGTTGATCGCTCGACCTCCCTGATGACAGCGCAACACCAGGGGGCTTCGCGAATTCCTCTTTCGTTTCCCGATCCCTCCAAGTTCGGGAATGCCCCTAAAGAGCAATTAATGAGGAAATTTGGGTTTCAGAGACGGAGCCTCCGTTTCCTCACCCGTTCGTGATGACGTCACCGCCGGAAGTCCGGCAGAGAGATATTTTTTAAAAGCCTCTCTGATGATCCCAGCTGAGTTTCCTGATCAGCAGAGGCTTTTCAAAGCATTAGAAAAATGCTTTGAAAAGTTAAAAAAAAAAAAAGTTGGCCACGCCCACCCAGTCACATTACCCCCACCACCACCAAGCCACGCCCACAGAACCGGTACTAACAAATTTTACATTTCACCCCTGGAGAAAAGCCACTCTTTTTAGGGTGGAAGAAATGATTTCCCTCTGTCCCTTGTTTTGGTAACAGACTAGCTTTATAATCATGCTGTTTGCCTGTGATCACATGAGTTTTCATACATAGTTTGGGTTTCAGCAGGTTCTGACCAGTTCTAGATAACCGGTAGCGGAAATTTTGAGTTCGGAGAACCAGTAATAAAAATTCTGACTGGCCCCGCCACCATCTATACTCTGCCTCCCAAGTCCCAACTGATCAGGAGGAAATGGGGATTTTGCAGTAACCTTCCCTTGGAGTAGGGTGGGAATGGAGATTTTATAGTATCCTTCCCCTGCCATGCCCACCAAGCCACACCCACAGAACTGGTAGTAAAAAAAATTGAAACCCATCACTGGTTTGAACCCCTGAGAATAGCTGGCTTTTGATGTACTACTTGAATCCCTGTTTCTTGCAGACAGCAAATGTCATGAATTTATGTGTTCAGTCAGCACATATTTGTGCTTCATAATAGTGATTAAATAGGAACAGTAACGCTTCTATTTATTTGACACAGCTGCCTCCCCTCTAATCTTCAAGGACTATTCATTTTTTTTTTTTACTTGCGCAGCAATTTCTTTTATTTTTTTATTTTCCATTTAAATGCTTGAAGCCTTTTCCTTCTGCAAAGGCATCAAAGCTGTTCTAATTTCAGAAGTCCAAATCTTCTGCATCTTGTTGTGATTGCCCTTATTATCCCTTCTTTGTCTTTCGTTAGATCTCTTCCTCGTAAAGTCTGTTTCCTCCGACAATTCATATTATAGTGCCTCCTGCGGTCTCATACATTTTCATCCCCTCTTATGACCAGTTGTTATTTTTCATTGCTCCAATCCTTATTTTTATTCAAACACCACTACACGTTTGCTGTTGCTGCCAGGTTTCCAGTCAGCCAGGAACACAAACATGCCTCAAATGTTCTACGTCACAATTGTAGCCTGTTACTTTACCTTGTAATCTGTTACCTTAACTTTTGTTTCTTCAGTTATCACCAGCAGAAAGCCCTTTTAATTTCACTTGTTTGCCTTCCAAATTGGTAGATTTGGTAACTCTGGTGAATACCCACAAGGAGAAAATGGTTAAGGACTCCATTTTAAATTTTTCCACCAGATTCCATTTCCAAACTCTTTCCCTGTGTTCTCACTGATTGAAGGCGGCTTCCCACCCAGTGTTAATAGATTGGAAGAAAAACGAAACCCAGATAGTCCTCAACTTACCGCCACAATTGAGCCCCAAATTTATGTTAAGTGAGAAATTTGTTAAGTGAATTTTGTCCCATGTTATGACCTTTCTTGCCACAGTTGTTAAGTGAATCACTGAAGTTATAGTTAGTAACAGAGTTATTAAGTGAATCTGGCTTCCACATCGATTTTGCTTGTCAGAAGGTTGCCCATGAGCGAACCGGTAGAAACAGGTTTTGAAACCTGCCCCTGGCTTGAAAGCATGCAAATGCGTGTAGATAAATAAGTACCACTTTGGTGGGAAGATAACAGTGCTCCGAGATGTCATGCTGATCATATGACCACAGAAATGTCTTTGGACAGCACTGGCCTTGAAATGGAGATGAGCATCTCCCTCTATAGTCAGAGACAACTAGCAGAGTAAAATCCATAGGGACTCCTTTACATTTTTTATGTTAATTGTTCATTCTACACTGGAATAGTGAATTTTATTTTATATCTTTTCTGTTCTATTAATTATACCATATTTGAATGTATTCGATGTTCTATATATTTTGGGATTGTTTAAAAAAATGTTTTAAACATTTTTAATGTTTTAAATAGTTTTCCAATCTATCCAGAGAATTTTGGATTAAAAAAAAATTAATACATAAATATGGTTTCTTGCAGGCAGGCCTGAAGTGTAAAGGAGAAGGAGATAATGACACAGAAAGGAGAAAAAGACTTAGAAGAGGAGGTGAGGGAACATCTCCTCCAACTTAAATTAAGATTTATTGATGTATATATTTGTTTGCTAGATTTCTACCTTGCTTTTTTCTCAAGGTCCTTGAAGCAGCCTACTTCAGAAAATCCTTTCATTTTTTTTCTCTCTCTCCACAACAAGAAGAATGGTTTGGGCTCAAATTCCATGAGCCTGTATCTGACAATAAGGGGAAAAATGAGATATGGCCTTCAAACAATGTGACTCCGAGTGGTGTACAGCAAAAAAGCAAACAATAAACCCCCAAATCCCCCAAATCATATATTATTAAAAAATGCTGTACATGGGATAATATCATGATGGGGAGTTATTTTTTGGTTTTAAAATCCTAAAAACCAGAACCTGTTGTTTCACAACAGTAACAAAGATTCTTTGGGATATCAATATTTTGGTTCAGTTTTTTTAATTACCACAGGAGGTGGTAAAGGCCTTCTTTTTTTATATGTGCAGTAGAAACATTCTTTGTTCCATGCGAACATTTACCTTAAAAAAAAAAATCTTTATCTAAATGAGTTCAGTTAGTAGATTAAAGCCGGATGGAGATGTGTCCTGCAGTGTCGAACGTATGCACCAGTCATCGACTGCATCACATACTAGCAGATACAAGCCAGAAGGTAAGTGGCCAGGATCCTGCCAGGTCCTATTTAGTATGAGCAATTGCAAACCGCAGGTGTGATGCTCCATTCAGTAATAATGCCCGAGTTAGGAAAAGGCCAAAGATGCTAGCAGTTGAGGCCCTGAGGAAAGTTTGAGGCTGTTTTTCATCTACGTCAGCTACCACATTCTGATTAAGAACATCAGGAGAATTCTGCTGAATTAAATCCATGACTCACCTAGCTGTGCATTCTATTTTTCTATCAGACGGTGAATAAAGACACTGACTTCTGCCTGTTTTTCCACAGCCAATGGTTGCCAAAAGCAGGTTGCTTTTGATCTTTGGGGGTAAATATATAATCAGCTGAGGTTTTGGTAGCTTCTTTCTAGACCCGTGATGGCGAACCTATGGCACGGGTGCCACAGGTGGCACGTGAAGCCATATTGGTGGGCACGCGAGTGTTGCCCTAGCTCAGCTCCAGCGTGTATGTGCGCACCGGCCAACTGATTTTCAGGCCTTCCGGTCCCACCGGAAGTCGGGAAACTGGGCATGGGAAGGCTGTTTTTGCCCTCCCCAGGCTCCTAGAAAGCCTCTGGAGCCTGGGGAGGGGGAAAAACAGGCCTACCGGGCCCACTGTGCCATCGTGTGCCAAAAGCAGGGGGAAGTGTGGGGGGGTCATGTGCGCATGCACGGGAGGGCAGGGCACATTGAATTATGGATGTGGGCATACGCACCCACGACCCCCCCCGTGACCCCCGCTTTTGGCACGCGACAGCAAAAAGGTTAGCCATCAGTGTTCTAGACTCTCAAAATTTGTTAAAAAGCATAAACTTCGGTGAGCCGTAGTTTGTTTCATCAACTGTATAGAATGGGCTAAGTCAGAGGTGTCAAACTCGATTTCATTGAGGGCCACATCAGAGTTGTGTTTGACCTTGGGGGGCCGGGGTCGGCGTAGCCAGCTCAATGTCACTCATGTCGGGGGCGCCTGTGGTAACCTTAGCGCTCTGCCAGCGAAAACAGGCTCCCGTGCTCCGTTTTCCCTCCCAAGCTCCATTTTCGCTGGCAGAGGCACCGCGGGCCTTTGCTCAGTGGTGAAATCCAATTTTTTTTACTACCGGTTCTGTGGGTGTGGTGTGGCTTGGTGGGCGTGGCAGGGGAAGGATACTGCAAAATCCCCATTCCCCCCCCCCCCCCTTCTGGGGAAGGATATTGCAAAATCTCCATTCCCACCCCACTCTGGGGCCAGCCAGAGGTGGTATTTGCCGGTTCTCCGAACTACTCAAAATTTCCACTACCGGTTCTCCAGAACCTGTCAGAACCTGCTGGATTTCATCCCTGACTTTGTTGTTTCCAGGGCAGCCTCGCAGGCCAGATCTAAGCACCCCGTGGGCCGGATCTGGCCCTTGGACCTTGAGCTTCACATCCCTGGGCTAACTGATGCAGAATTTAAACCAGGATGAGGTAGAGAGAAAACAAGATGATTAGGCAGATACATTACATGTGAGACAGATTACAATACAGTTAGTCCTTGGTTAACCATAATTCAAAGTTAAAACAGCACTGAGTAAAGTGACTTAAGATGGGTCCTCATAACTGAGGCCATTGCAGAATCCCTACACAGGTGTAGTCCTTGACTTATAACAGTTCGCTTAGTGACCGTTCGAAGTTACAACAGCACTGGAAAAAAGTGACTTATGACTATTTTTTACACTTATGACCATTGCAGCATCTCTTACATTTGGATGCTTGACAACTGACTCACATTTATGACGGTTGCAGTGCCCCGGGGTCATATGATCACCTTTTGCAACCTTCTGACAAGCAAAGTCAATGGGGAAATCAGATTCACTTAACAACTGTGTTACTAACTTCACAACTGCAGTGAATCGCTTAACAAATGTGGCAAGAAAATGGAGCAAAACTGACTTAACAAATTTCTTACTTCGCAACGTACATTTTGTGTCGTACAATTGTGGTCGTAAGTCATACAATTGTGGTCGTAAGTTGAGGACTACCTGTAGTCACATGATTGTAATTCAGGTGTTTGGCAACCAGCTCACAATTATAATGATCACAGCGTCCTACAGTCATATGACCCTTTGTCACCAATCCAACAAACACGGAGATCACAATTGGCAATCGCATGATGTCATTTCCTAACAAGCACCCACAGGATTTGCTTAACAACTGCAACTGGAACTGGTTTTACAATCACTCCATTTGGCGATGGAGGTCCCAGTCCCAATTACTAACATTAACTCAGAACTACCTGCACATTATCAATAAACAATAGTAATGTGGTAAGGATCCATTATGTTTGTTGAGATCCTTATGAGATAATGTCATGGTTCCGAGTAATGATCCCAATCAATTCAGGACTCTGAGGCTGTAGGTTTTCTCAAAGATCTCCTTTATTGGGTACATCCTATTGGCACGTTCAGGTGTGAATCCAACTCTAAATATTTCCCACGGTTTGGTATAATTAAAAGAATAGATATCCCCCCCACCCCCCAGTGTCACAGATCATGTTGACCAACCAGGTAGGTGGCGGGCTTCTCAGCTGCTCCCTCCGGCTGTTACGAATGCTCGTTGAGATGACCTTGGTTCCCATCAGCCCTATCGCTGTTATATTCTGGCACATTAGAAGAAAACATTTCACACTCCATTGGTCCCCTCTCCTTCCATATCAGAGATGGGTTTCAGCAGGTTCTGACCAGTTCTGGAGAACCGGTAGCGGAAATTTTGAGTAGTTCGGAGTACCGGTACTAAAAATTCTGACTGACCCCGCCCCCATCTATTCTCTGCCTCCCAGGTTCCAGTTGATTGGGAAGAAATGGGGATTTTGCAGTAACCTCCCCCTGGATTGGGGAGGGAATGGAGATTTTAGAGTATCCTTCCCCTGCCATGCCCACCAAGCCACACCCACAGAACCGGTAATAAAAAATTTTGAAACCCACCACTGCTCCATACGTTTGGCAACTAAGAAACGAAGCAAAGGGAATATGGCTTCAGATAAAGTCGTTTCGAGAGTTGACAGATAAGCTGAAAGCTTTGGACACATCCAGTATGCGTTGAGCAATCTCTTGTTTAATTATACTGGTGAAGTTTCTTTTTTCCAAAATGGCGACCTTACAGAATAGCAGAGTTGGGAGGGACCTTGGAGGCCGTCTAGTCCAATCCTCTGCCCAAGCAGGAGCTCCTATACCCGTGATGGCGAACCTATGGCACACGTGCCACAAGTGGCACACGGAGCCATATTGGTGTGCACGCGAGCTCAGCTGTGGCGCACATGTGTGTGCCGGCCAGCTGATTTTCAGGCCTTCTGGGCCACCCAGAAGTAGGGAAACTGGCTGTTTCCTGCCTCCGGAGGGCCTCCATGGGAGTTGGGGAAGGCCGTTTTTGCCCTCCCCAGGCTCCTAGAGAGGCTCTGGAGCCTGGGGAGAGCAAAAAACAGGCCTACCGGGCCCACCATGCCATTGTGTGCCAAAAGCAGGGGGAGCGCAGGGGGGGCATGCGCACATGCGTGGGAACGGGGCACATAGAATTATGGGTGTGGGCACGTATGTGTGCAACCCACCCCTGCTCCCCCCGCTTTTGGCACGCGATGGCAAAAAGGTTAGCCATCACTGTCCTATACCATTCTCTTCCAATCTCTTCTTAAAAAAACCAATCCAATCTTTAAAAATCTATAATGGAGCATCCTGTGAAACTGAAATGCTTTTACATTACTTTGTCCTTGTTTTGATCCATCTCATTATCCAGTTCATAGGGTTCTAATTGCTTCCTTCATTGGTTAGTAACTTCCTTAATTGGATGTCCGCAGAATACTGATATCACAGTGGTGGGTTGCTACTGGTTTGCCCCGGATCGGGCAAACCGGTAGCGGCGGCAGGAGGCTCCGCCCAGTCGCTTCTGTGCATGCCCAGAAGCGTTGCGCGTGCGCACAAGCGCGCCCACGAGCAAACCAGTAACGACGGGTTTTGAAACCCATCCCTGTGATATCACCCCAAATTCCATATGACTTCTCCTGTGGTTTTGCTGCACATAAGTGATGAGCAATGCTTGGGACAACATGGAACTATATAAGGCACTAACAATCAACAGCTCAAGTGTCAAAACTGATACTAGTCCCATGGCATGAAATGAGTTTGGGACTTATAAAGCTAAGAAAGCAAATTTTGTTTTTTGTTTTTTTCCCCATCCTAGGAAATACAGCTTCACTGATAGATGGGTGCACACAATGCAGCATCAATGTCACCTTTTCTTTCAATCCAGATCGCCTCAAGCAAGCCAGACAGTATGTGGAGAGAGCCATCAAGGTAATGATATCGACTGAATTTGCCTTCTTAGGTCCCATTCGCTAGATCAACCTCAGTGTGCAGGGAAGAGCAATAGATGATTAGAGGACCAGAGGCTAAAACATATGAAGAACATATGCAGGAATTGGGTATGTCCAGTTTAATGAAAAAAGGGATCAGGGGGTTTCATGATAGTATGGATCCAATATCTCAGGGGCTGCCACAAAGAAGAGAGAGTCAGCCTATCTTCCAGAGCACCAGAAGGCAGGACAAGAAGCAATGGGGGAAAACTAATCAAGGAAAGAAGTAAAGTAAAACTAAGGAGAAATTTCCTGACAGCGAGAACAATTAATCAGTGGAATGGCTTCCCTCCAGAAGTTGTGGGTACTCCCTCGCTGGAGGTTTTGAAGAAGTGATTGGACAACCATTTGTCTGATATGGTATAGGGCAGAGATCAGCAACCTGCGGCTCTGGAGCCATATGTGGCTCTTTCATCCCTCTGCTGTGGCTCCCTGTCGCCAGTCGGCACCACAATTTTGAGAAGAGCTTCCAGTTTGGGGGGTGGGGGAGAGCAGGGCATGCCAGGAGGAGACTCTATGGCAAGGGGCGAGTTTTCAGGTCACCCCACAATTGATAGGGTTAGGAGTAGTAGAGGAAAAAGGACGCCATGCTAGGAGGAGACTCTATGGTGGGGGAAACAGACTTCCGGTCAGCTCCAGAATTGAACGGGGGACTTCCGGTTAGGACCTTTGTGGCTCTTTGAGTGTTTAAGGTTGCCACCGCCTGGTATAGGGCAGCAATCCCCAATCTTTGTGGCTTGGCAGCTTGATGGGAGAGGGGAAGAGGGGAGCCAGGCCCGCCACTCGCATAAATCAAGCTGCACATGCACGCCAGCCTGCCACTTGCGCAGCCCAATTGCGAATAGGTCGTGGCCCAATAGTGGACTATGGCCCAGTGGTTTGGGACCCCTGGTGTAGGGTTTCCTGCTTGAGCAGGTGGTTGGACTAGAAGACCTCTTAGGTCCCTTCCAACTGTGTTATCCTTCCATTGAAACCTTTCCTTTGTTTTGGAACATTTTGCTCCTAAGCGCCACTCGGTCTTCCTCCTGCAGTGCAAAATAGCTAATCCTCTCATTGTCCTGCCAACTCATAGCAAAGGAAGATCTTCATGGTCCATGGTCCGTACCCCATCATCCGAAGACAACTTCTTGTCAGAGGCTGGGTGGAGAGGAAGTTCCCAAAGATGCCGAAAGCCGTCACTAAGCGGGACCGTTTCCCTGACGGCGAAGCTGATGAAGATGGTGATGACAGTGATGTAACTGATGATTGTAAGACTCAAACACCACCATCCCTGCTGGATTTCTTCGCTTTTTTTTTCTTTTGTTTTAACCACTGTTTAAGCTTATTCTTTCTGCAGACTTACATGCACAACTGCTTTTGTTAAAAAAGGGAAGATAGCACTTAGCAATAGCACTTAGACTTATATACCGCTTCATAATGCTTTTACAGCCCCCTCTAAGCAGTTTATAGAGTCAGCATATTTCCCTCCAACAATCTGGGTCCTCATTTTACCGACCTCGGAAGGATGGAAAGCTGAGCCAATTTTCAGCCCCGTAAGGATTGAACTCCAGGCTGTGGGCAGAATTAGCCTGCAATAATGCATTCTAACCACTGCGGCAACATAGCTCTTTAATCCTTGATTTACAAACATTTGTTTAGTGGCCATTCAAAGTTAGACTGGCACTGAAGAAAGTGACTTACAACTGATTCCATGCTCTTAGGACTGTCACAGCATCCCCGTGGTCACATGATCAGAATTTGAGTGCTTAGTAACTGGCACGTATTTACAACGGTGTTCCAGAGCATGTGATAGCCATTTGCAATCTTCTCAGAGGCTTTTGACAAGAAAAGTCAATGGGGAAAGTTGGATTTGCTTAACATGTGCATGATTCACTTAACTGTAGTGATTCATGTAACAACCGGGGCCAAAAAGATCATAAAATTGGATGCAACTTCCTTAACAACCACCTTGCTTAGCAACATAACTTCTGGTTGCAATTGTGGTCATAAGTAAAGGACTACCTTTATGTCCCTTGATGTCTATGGGGATTCTCAGTCATCTAGATCATGGTTGTCCCAAAGGTGCTTTTTCAAGAGGCAACTGGACTTTCTGGTTTTTTCTTTGAAGACGTTTCGCTTTTCATCCAAGAAGCTTCTTCAGCTCTGACTGGATGCTGGGGAATGGAAGGATTTATACTCTTTGCAGACAGCTGGTCATTTGCATTCTTTTAGCAAGTTGTTGAGGATAAAACACCCAGACACAAACTGAGTAATGTGGTATATGAAATACAATGCAGTGAGCCATGTGCAGATCAGTACATTGGGAAACAAAACAACCACTTCATAAACACATGGCACAACATAGGAGAACAAACCCATCAGGACTAGATTCAGCAGTCCAGATGCATTTAAAAGACAAAGCAGAGGTAGGTTTCAGCAGGTTCTGACCAGTTCTGGAGTACCGGTGGCAGAAATTTTGAGTAGTTCGGAGAACCGGTAAATACCACCTCTGACTGGCCCTGCCCCCAAGTCCCAGCTGATCGGGAGGAAGTGGGGATTTTACAGTAACCTTCCCCTGGAGTGGAGAGGGAATGGAGATTTTACAGTATCCTTCCCCTGCCATGCCCACCAAGCCATGCCACGGCCACCAAGCCACACCCACAGAACCCCACCATTGAGACAAAGGCCACTCTTTTGAAGACAGCAAAGTCCACATTTTGGACAGAGGGGACCGCTGGTTTGAAAGAGGGATCAAAGAGGCCATCTATGTCAAAATTGAACAGCCCTGTCTTGACAGAAGGGGAGGGATACAACATCAACCGTTCCAAGAAGGCTCCACACCCATTTGCACCACTCAGGTAGCCCTTACAACACAGATAAACCTCCAGGTGGCCTCAACAACTCGCTAAAAAAATACAAATGACCAGCTGTCTGCAAAGCCTTCCATTCCCCACCATCCAGTCAGAGCTGAAGAAGTTTCTCGGATAAGAACCAAAACGTCTTCAAAGAAAAATCAGAAAGTCCAGTTGCCTCTTGAAAAAAGCACCTTTGGGACTTTATGTCCCTTCTTATTCAATGATTTCATGTTTGTTTAACAAAACGTTAAGAGAAGTAAAACACCACTCAAGGTCTGATGAATTATGCAGGCCAAAGATTGTTTGGAAGGGCATTCTGTAAGCATTTTTATTTATTTTATTTTTATTTTATTTCGAATTTATATACCGCACCTTCTCCCGAAGGACTCAGGGCGGTGTACAGCCAGATAAAAAACATACAATATAAACATTAAAAACAAATAAATATATATATATTAATTTGGCCCCAATTTAAAATAACAAACTAATTAAAAATATTTAAAAAATATATTAAGCCAGTCCGTCTTACTGAAAAAAGAAAGTTTTAAGGGCACGGTGGAAGGCATCGCGGTCTTGGATTCTCCTTATCTTTGGGGGCAGCTGATTCCAGAGGGTAGGTGCCCCCACAGAGAAGGCCCTCGCCCTGGGGAGCATGTGCTAATGCTAAAAAACTTCCCTCACCATAGAAATAAATGTCAACTTGGAGAGAGAAGTTCTTTGGAGAAGGATATTTGTTGTTTGTTTGTTTGTTTGTTACATTTACAATCATGGGCAAAAGAAAACCCACCCTCTTTGAGTTCCATGGTTTTATGTATCAGAACATAGTAGAAATCATCTGGTCCTTAGCAGTTTTTTAAAAGTAGGTAAATACAACCTCAAATGGACAATAACACATGACATATGACCCCATGTCATCATTTCTTTTACAAATTTTATTTTACAAAAAGAAAGCCAAAATGTACATCTGATGTTTCGGGGACACTGCAACTGTCATAAATAGGAACCAGTTCACGAGCATACAAATTTTGATCCCCAGACTGGGATGCTGCAACAGTCATAAGTGTGAAAAACGGTCGGAAGTCACTTTTTAAAGTGCTGTTGTAATTTTGAAGAGTCACTAAATGAAGTACTGTATTTTTCGGAGTATAAGACACTCCGGAGTATAAGACGCACCTTAGTTTTGGGGGAGGAAAATAAGAAAAAAAAAATCTGCTTCTGCCTACCAGCATTTATCAGTATTCATCTGGCCAGCGTCCTTAGCAAACAGCCTGTCAGTTTCAGCTCATTAGCCTGATTCAGCACAAGCAGCTGATTGGCGGGTAGATCGGCCTCCCGGAATACTCCCAATCAGCTGTTCCCAGAGGTGAACTGTAGCAACAGGTTTGCTGGTTGTGAGCGCATGTGCATGCTGCATTCGCACGCGCCTTGTTGGGGCAGATACACAGCTTCAAAAATGCATCTGATCATCGCAGGGTACTCCAGTGAGTACAGTGGGCAAAGCGTGGAACCGGTCCGACAAGGCAGCAGGTGTTCTGGGTTGCCATTTTGGCCTCTGCACCTTGGTTTTTCACCCTCTGAAAGCTCCGTTTGAGAGGCTGCCTTTGCAAAGAGCAACTCCTTTGCAAATGGAGCTTTTGGAGGCTGCTTGAGAGGCTCTCCGCCTCCAAAAGCTCCGTTTGAGAGGACGCACAGAGGCCGAAGGGTGGGGGCTGGCAGGTGGGCGGGGCTATATTCGGTGTATAAGACGCACCCAAATTTTCACCCTCATAGGGGTGAAAAAAGTGTGTCTTATACTCCAAAAAATACGGTAGGTGGTAATTCAAGAGCTACCTGTATGTCCATTGTACAACAGCTCTTTCTTTCTAATTTTTATTCATTTTTTTTCATACTACAGATGAGGAAGATGAAGATGAGCAGGATGATACTGATGGTATCTATAACCTCATGGTTAGTTTGGGGTACCAGAGTGATCTGCCCTTTAAACACTTCATTTTATTACTGTGTATTCCATTTTCCTCCCCGTAAAATAGGAGCGGTCTACTTGGTTCTCCCTTTCCCATCAAATTTATTTTGCACAGAAGCCCTGAGAGGTAAGTTGCCTTAGAGCGCAAACAGGCCCCAATGGTATCATAGTCCAATAGGACTCTCTCGATCCAAGTCACAACATCCTTTGATCGCAGTCATGTAACATGCTTAATTTGATTACTGAACTTAATGGGTTAATTCTAGATTTTACACAATATATTACAGTAAATAATAAACTAATCCAATCGAGTCCTAAAACATGCTATGCCAGCGGTCCCCAACCTTTCCAGTTTGGCAGACCAGTGAGTTGGGGTGTGGGGAGAGAGGATGGTTCTGTGTGAGTGGTAGGCGTGCACAAATGTGAGCGCCTGCCTCTTGTGTAAATGGAGCTGCATGTGCAAATGTGCTCACCCACTGCTTGTGTGGCCCAGTTCCAAACAGACTGCGGCCCAGTAGTGGCCTGCAGCTCTGGGATTGGGGAACCCTGCACTAAGCCACAAAAATCTTAACTCCTGCTAAAGCAGCGATTCCCAAGCTTTCCAGTTTGGCAGACCAGCGTGTGTGTGTGTGTGTGTGTGTGTGTGTGTGTGTGTGTGTGTGTGTGTGATGGAACCCTTGCACTAAACCACAAAAATCTAACTCAGATTGGAATTCAAATTTAGTATGCTGTAAGGAATGGAGTTGCTGGGCCTTTATCCATCTATGTATGTTTATAAATCCAGCTACTCTCTTCACTTGACACTAATTTATTGTGAATTCTTACAATTATTTATTTATTTATTTATTTATTTATTTATTTATTTATTTATTTATTTATTAATCAAATTTCTATACCGCCCTACTCCCGAAGGACTCAGGGCGGTGAACAGCCAAGATAAAATACAGATAATACAAATATTAAAAAAATCCCTTAAAATTATTAAATATTTCGGCCGAAACACAGATTAAAACACCCAATTTATAAAATCACAAATTAAAAAATCTAAAAAATTTAAAAAATGGGAGTTAGGCCAGGCCAGCTTGCTGAAATAGAAAAGTTTTGAGAGCATGGCGAAACGTGCGCAGGTCCGGGATCTTCCGTATCTCTGGGGGGAGCTCGTTCCAGATGGTAGGTGCCCCCACAGAGAAGGCTCTCCCCCTGGGGGCCACCAGTCGACACTGTTTGGCCGACGGCACCCTGAGGAGCCCCTCTCTATGGGAGCGTACTGGTCGGTGAGAGGCTATTGGTAGCAGAAGGCGGTCTCGTAGATACCCCGGTCCGATGCCATGGAGCGCTCTAAAGGTGGTAACCAAAACCTTGAAGCACACCCGGAAGACCACCAGGAGCCAGTGCAGCTCGCGCAGGAGGGGGGTCACATGGGAGCGCCACGTCGCTCCCATAACCACCCGCGCGGCCACATTCTGGACCAGCTGGAGCCTCCGGGTGCTCCTCAAGGGGAGCCCCATGTAGAGAGCATTGCAGTAGTCCAAGCGGGAAGTAACGAGAGCATGAGTGACCGTATTTAACGAGTCCCGATCCAGAAAGGGACGCAACTGGCGAATCATTTGCCACTCTTTACTATCCCCTATTGATTTTCAAACGATTTTGACATGGTTTCTCATTCTTACACTTCTGTCCTTTGTCTTTACCCGCTGCTCCTTTTTGCCCTCTTTCATTGGCAGTCAAGGTTGGTTCGTAACCAGATCCCCTACTTCATCTGGACCAATCGGCGAGATGTGATTGATTGTCGCAGCCTGCGCAAGGACCAGATGATGAATCACTATGCCAAGGCAGGGACCTTCACTACTAAGGTGAGCAGAGGACCATTACATAAACATCTGGACCACACGGAAGTATGTATTTGTTAAGAGTTCTGGTGGCGCAGTGGTTAGAATGCAGTATTGCAGACTAACTCTGCCCATTGTCAGGAGTTCGATCCTGACCGCCTCAAGGTTGACTCAGCCTTCCATCTGTCTGAGGTCAAACACTTAAACCCAGATTGTTGGGGGCTGCCTCTGTAAACCGCTTAGAGAGTGCTGTAAAGCACTGTGAAGCCATATATAATTTTAAGTGCTATTGCTATTGCTATATCCTCTCTCTCAGGTAGGGTTGTGTCTTAACTTGCGTAACCTGCCATGGTTTGACCAGGCTGATGCAGATACATTTTTCCCACGGTGTTATCGTCTTGGAGCTAAAGATGAAAAGCATGCTTTTATTGGTAAGAAGTATTCACAACAACCGGTCGGCAGCAATCCGTTTCCCACCGGCCAGATAATCACACTGGTCAGTAGATTAATTAGAAAAATGGACAGAAACTCCTTTTGAATCCCAGGGAAAGAGGAAAAAAAATGTCCCATCTTACATGTGAGAGTTACATGTAGTTTGCCGGCTATGGCGTGTGCACCAGTGCTGTTAAATTCTTGGGGTGAAGCAAGTTTAGAAACAGAAATAACTGGTTTGCTAGGAATTACATGCCTTTCTGCTTTTTATGGTAGAGGACTTCCATCTCACTGCAGCCAGGAGCCTTCTCAAAATAGTGGTGAAACGATACTGGAAGAAGCCGACTTTCCTGACAGCGTTGGAGGAAAATCAGAATGAATTCCTAAGTGGTCCAGGATCTCCAGGTAGGTGCAGCAAGTAGAAAATATGGGAGAATTAAAGAACTATAATCTCTTTGTCAGTCTGTAGAAAGCCCGAAAGACTGGACTTCATGGAGCAGGACAAATGGTGGGAAGCCCAGGGGTTTTAAATGCTTTTTGCCTTATTACTTTTCTTAATGCTTCAAGATGATCGTATCCCATAGGGGACTAGTCTTTATGTTCTGGCTATTTTATGTGTTTGAATTCTAGTTTGTGAATCAGAGCAGCACAACTGGAGTTCAGAAAGGCTTTGTTTCCTGTATCTGAATGACGTTTTGTTATCTTCCGAGAATCATTTGAGGGATTTTATCTCATTTTCCTTATTGTGAAAATGCCGGTGAAAATGCATTTCAGCTACCTTGGTGCAATCTTGGCTTGCCTAGATCTAATTAGACCAAGAATGTAGAGGTATTATTCTGCTACCGAGCTGAGAATTATTTTAAAAAGAAGTTTGGTTGTGAAATTGGGGTGTTAGAACCACACTGGGGACTTTGACGTAATCTGAGACAAATTTACTTCAGATTCAAAAGATGCAGCCCTGGTGGACACTATATCCTAAGGTCCAAGAGGTACCTCTTTTCATTTTATAAATGAATGGTTGCTACTGTTTGGGCTATTTTTATGTCTAAAATAATCCACTTCTGAGTTTGGGAAGAGTTTGCATATGACCATGAATATCTGTTCCAGGTACATCCAATTTTCTTAAAAGCCCACTATAATAAGTTTTGAATTTTCAAAGCAAAATATCAACTCAGAAAGTTAGCTAACTTATTCCAGGTAGTTTGTTTTTGTTTTGATAGCACACTAGTTGCCGTTACTTGTTGAGAATTCTATGCTAATTGTTAATTAATTCCCCCCCCCAAGATGTTCAAGTCCTGATACCCACTTTTCTCTCTATTGTACTGCTTTGAATAATAATAACAATAAAGCAAGAACTGATCTGAAATTCAGGGTTTTTTTTTTAGTTTGAAGCCTTATACTCTTGCTTCCTTGCAACAATATTCACAGGTTCTTGCTGGTTTTGTTAGGATGATGACACTACCAGTCCCTGAGACTTGTGTGTGATATTGCAATGCAATGCAATATCACACACAACGCAATGAAAAGCTAAATTATGTCATCATGCTGCTTGCATCATTCTAACCCCCTACCCTTGACTCAGAAAAGATGCTGCTTCCTTTCCTTTAAACATTACCTCCTCCACCTGAGGCCCAGGAATCTTGTGGAAAAGAAATCAGACATTCAAAGCTAGGGCTAGGAAGTGCTTCAGATTTGAAAGCAAAAAGATTTTCCGTATAGCACCCACTGGCTGCAGCCATCTTTGCCTGGAATCCTGCTTGGGAAAAAATAATCATGGGAAAAGATGCAGAGGCTTTAAGGCAGATGTTACCAGTGCTGTTGCATGATCCAGAGCAGGGGTATCAAACTCTATTTCATTGAGGGCCACACCAGGGTTGGGTTTGACACGGGAGGAGGGGGGGCTGGGGTGTGTGTGACCAGGTTGAGCGTGGCTAGCTCTAAGTCATTTGTGTCTAGGGTGCCAGTGGTGACCCAAGCACTCTGCTAGCGAAAACGAGCTCCCAAGCTCCATTTTCAACTGCGATGGCCTCCTGCAACCCTCTGCCAGCCAAAACAGAGCTCGGGAGGGCCACCCATGGCCCTTGCAAGCTCTGTTTTGGCTGACAGAGGCACCACGAACTGGTCCTTCACTGTTTCCAGGGTGGCTCCGCAGACCAGATCTAAGCATTCCATGGGGCGGATCTGGGCCCTGGGCCTTGAGTTTGACACCCATGAGGTAGACCAAGATGGGGAATGTGCTGTTGTGATAAGTCTGATCCTTTTGTAGATGTAACAAAATGACATCTAGGCACTCATCAGGAGTCAAGTCTGATTTGAAATATTTAGCTACAAAATGGAGGGGTGGGGGCTTGTATCTTCTACCTGTTTGCCTTTTTTGCCCCTCACCCTCCCTTGGACACCAGTGCTCAGGCTCTCCCTTGTCACATACCCAGGATTGTTAGGTCAATAATCTCTCCCTTCTAGAAGCCAAGCATCGTACCCGCCACAAGAAAGGGGCCAATTTCTCAGCCCAGCTGATTGAGACGGCAATACATGCTTGTGAGGAGCATTTGAGCAGCCTGAAACATCAGGACATCGACAGAGATTCTGGGTCTGCCTTGCAACTGTCGAAAGGACACTGGCAGGACTTCCTGCACAGCTACTATCAGATAGCCCAGTAAGCACAGACATTTGAACTTTTTTAGGGGGGAAACCACCAGTTTCTGCAAATCCATAGACCTCATTTTTGCAACTGTACAAGCAGTCCTCGGCTTAACAACCGTATACTTAGACTCTAAGTGATGGCAAACTTTAGGCACAGAGTGCCGAAACCGGAAGGCATGCATGCCAGAGCGCCGGAAACCCGACGACCAGCTGGCTGTTGCACATGTGTGCCTCGGAAACCCGACGACCAGCTGGCTGAGCCTGGGTGATGGTGCGTGTGCCCGCAGAGAGGGCTCTGCTTGCCATAGGTTCGCCATCATGGGCTTAGAGAGTAACTGGACCAAGTTAAAACAACACTGAAGAGAGTGATTTATGATTGATTTTCGCCCTTATGATTGTTGCAGCATCCCCATGGTCACCTGATCAAAATTCAAGAGACGATGGATAGATGATTTCTTTTCTTTGTCATTGTTCTGATTTGCTTTTCTTTTTCTCTCTCTTTCTCTCTTTTTGTTTTTCTTTTTTTTAAGGTAGCTGGCACGGCTAGAAGTTAGGTAGGATAGAAAGAAAACGCTTTTCAGTAAAAGGTGACATGATTAAAAGTTAGAATAAGTGATAGAAATAAGAGAAGGGGGAATGTTAGCGTAGACACTGTTATATAATAAAATAAAAGTATCCATAAGAGAAAACATGGAATAACTGAATAATGACAGAGTGCAACTTATTATAATTGTCTATCATTATTAGAAATACATAAGTTGACTGAATGTAATAACTATGACTAATTTTGCTAAGTTTTTTTTTTTTTTGTATTAGAATGCATGACACTCAGATGCCACACTGTTCAGGCATTGATGTGACATGTTTGTAAAAAAAAATTAAAAAAAAATTCAGGTGCTTGGCAACTGGCATATATTTATGATGGGGTCATGTGATCACTCATTTGTGATCTTCCCGGTTGCTTTCCAACAAGCAAAGTCAATGGGCTTAACTACTGCATGAGTCCCTTAACAACTGCTGTGGTTTGTTTAACAACTGTGGCCAAAATGGTCGTAAAACGAGGCACAACATTGTGGTCATTTGTGGAACGAACATTTTGTTCTGTTTCCACATGTTAGAAATGAATGAATGAATGAATAAATGAATGAATTCACTCATTCATTCATTTAGTCATTTATTCATTTATTCATTATTAAATTTACATGCCGCCCATCTCACTAACACACGACTCTGGATGGCTTACACATTATCCTGTTGTTTCTTAATGGCTTGCCTTCAAGTGTTGTGCAATAATACAGTTTCTAGGGGCTCAGAAGCCATTTGCCACCCATAGGCCATAGGTTCTCTCTCCCTGGCACAGGTTACCACCATGGAAGGGCATTGGGTCATGCTATTGGGTCAAGTATTTGTCGTTGCAGCGAAGGGGCCCAGATGACGCAGACAGAGAGCCTCATTGAGCGCTGTGAGGATATCTTGCAACGGCTGCAAAAAGTCGTCCCCCAGTTGGACATGGAAGGGGACAGGAACATCTGGATTGTCAAACCAGGAGCCAAGTCTCGTGGCAGAGGTAAGTTTACTGGACATGGATTAAATACCCCAAAATAGCTTGAGAGATGGAGTTGACAAAGCAGTTCAGGAGATGCTTCAGCTGTGCAGAATTTTTGGCTGGATTCACGCATCCTACCAAGCCATTCTTTAACCATGGTTTGTTAGGTACAAAACTATTGTACAAGATGAATTTGCATGAGACTCTTAAGACGAAGGAAACCATATGATGGCTCAGTGTGATATGTGAACCCAGATTCTGTATTTTTACATAAGTGGTAAAGAACATTGAATTTAACGTCAACAGACGTCATTCAACCCTAATTTTGGCCTTGTCAACTTCATGGCCATCTGGTTTTCCAAAGATCTTGATCCAGATTATTGGTAAATAATAAACTGTGCTGGTAACAAACTGTGGATTTGGGACTTTAAGCAATTATATTGTGTACGATTACAGCCAATAAGATGACTGGGGCATTCAGCAAAAGGCACACACAAGGCATTTAAACAAAATTTATAAAGGCACTTGCCTTTTATCATGCTTTTAATTGTTAATTTACTTTATGATTTGTTTAGTGTTAATTCTGATTTTATGTTTTTAATCTTCTACACTCTGCTTTTGCCTTTCAAACGTTTTGTTAGCTGGCTTAAGTACTCATCAGAGAACCAGTTTGGTGTAGTGGTTAAAGTACTGGCCTAGAAATTAGGAAATTGTGAGTTCTAGTCCCACTTTAGTCATGAAATCTGTTTGGGTGACTTTGAACCAATCACCAGGAGATTGTGGGTTCTAATCCTGCCTTAGGTACAAAAGCCAGCTGGGAGATTTTGGACCAGTGACTCTTTCTCAGCCCAATTTACCTCATAGAATTGTTGCTGTGGGAAAATAGCAAATATCTAAATAAATAAATACAGAAAGGCAGGGTATAAATCAAATAAATAAAGAACATATTCCGACAGGCATCATGTGCATGGACCGCTTAGAGGAAATTGTGAAACTAGTGGACTGCGACCCCATGATTGTCAAGGATGGAAAATGGGTGGTACAGAAATATATCGAGACGCCCCTGCTCATCTTTGGCACCAAGTTTGACTTGCGGCAATGGTTTCTGGTGACTGATTGGAATCCCCTCACCATCTGGTTCTATCGGCATAGCTACATCCGTTTCTCTACACAGCCTTTTTCCTTACACAATCTGGATACGTGAGTGTGTCATCTTATTGACTTTATTGTTTATATTATTCCATGTGTGGATGCACACAAGAGCCAGAAGAAGCAGAGAGATTTTATGTCTCATTAAGAATTTTGGTTTAATCTATTCAGTGTCTTAATGGGGGGGTGGGGTTTGATGTCCCGTTAAAATCTTCAGGATTATTCATGTTAATCCAGAGTAAATATTACGTTTGAGGAAGTCTATATGAAAACTCTGGAGCAATGCTACTAGCATGGGCAGCTTCATATAGTCATATGCTTCCAGTGATTTAACTGGAAATCCTATTGTCATTACACTAGGTACTTTGCATAGGAGAATTTACTGAACAGCACCTATGAAATAGTATGTAATTAGATTTGTCCCTTTATAGAAAAGATAAAAAAAAAAAGAAGCAGGATCGTATGGGGTAACTGGAAATGGAAAAGAAAAAAAGGGGGGAAACACAAAGATACTAAGAATAATAGAATAACAGAGTTGGAAGGGACCTTGGAGGTCATCTAGTCGAACCCCTGCCCAAGCAGGAGACCATACACCATTTCTGACAGATGACTAAGAGTGTGAAAATGAGTATCAATTCAACACAGACATGAAAACTCACCTGAGAAGTAGATACAGTATATATTTGAAGGTTTTTTTTAAAAAAGAACTGTACATAATATCTAAGAGTATTTCATAGCAGAATGAGCAAGTAAATATTGGTTCAAAGGAGTAGTAAGAGCCTTGGTAGCGCAGCAGACTAAAGTGCTGTTAAGTAGCACCAGCTGCCTGCAATTACTGCAAGTTCAAATCTCACCAGGCTCAAGGTTGACTCAGCCTTCCATCCTTTTGAGGTAGGTAAAATGAGGACCCGGATTGTGGGGGCAATAAGCTGACTTTGTATAAAAAAGAACACCGCTTGGGGGGGGGGGGGCGAAAGCCCTACTAAGCAGGTATATACAAAAGTATGAAGGCTATTGCTTAACGCATTGTAAGCCGCCCTGAGTCTCCGGAAAAGAGCGGCATATAAATCGAACCAATAAATAAACAATAATAAATAGTTATTTTGTGGGAATCAAAAGAAGATTTTAAAAAACCAAGAAAGAAGTCTATCTATTAAAGCATAGATGTATGTGTGTGCTAGAAAGGCTGTCTCTGCCTATTACAGTAGATGAAATGCTAAAACTTTGAAGGACTCCTGGCTTAACTCTTAAAAGACTATTCTCATTTATTATGGCAGACTATACAGAAAACAACCAAGCTCAGAGAGCACCAAGGACCCCTAAATAAAATATAATAATTATAAACATCAAATCACAATTATCATATGATAAATACCAACTGGAAAGATTAGTAAAATGAGGCATTTTTTATGATTTTTCTAAAAAAAAGGACGGGAGGACTGATCCCAATTCCAAAGAAAATATGTTCTATAATTTCAGATCCAGACAGGAAAATGTGCCCAATAAGGAGTTTCCATAGGTTGAGCTTAGTTGACACATCCTGTGTTAAAATCCTTTGCATAGAATCTGGTCCCCATTATTGATTCCATCTTCTTCTTCTTCTTCACCCCAGTTCCATCCACCTGTGCAATAACTCCATCCAGAAACATTATGAGAATTCCCTGAACCGCCATTCTGAGCTTCCCTCAGACAATATGTGGTCCTCTGATCAATTCCAGATCCACCTGAGGAAAATGGGGGCACCAGAGGCCTGGTCCAAGGTGATTGTGCCTGGCATGAAGGCGGCCATCATTCATGCCATACAGACCTCTCAGGACCTCGTGGAGTTCCGCAAAAACAGCTTTGAGCTTTATGGGGCAGACTTTCTCTTTGGAGAAAACTACCAGCCGTGGCTGATTGAGATCAATGCCAGCCCCACCATGGCAGCTTCTACGTCTGTCACCACCCGGCTGTGTGCCAGTGTGCAGGACGATACCTTACGGGTGGTCATTGACCGCAAGTACGATCGCAATTGCAACACAGGAAACTTTGAGCTCATCTATAAACAGGTGAGCGTTCCTTTCTGAGTCCAATTCCTTGGAATGCTTGCCTCACTTTTTCCAGGTTGATTCTCTTTATATCGGATCTATCTAATTTGGGGTTTGGCATTTGCAACTCAGAGTATAGAGTAGTCCTTGACTTACAAGCACAATTGAACATCAACTTTTTGTTGCTAAGCAAGACAGTTGTTAAGTGAATTTTGCCCTATTTTACAACCTTTCTTACCATGGTGGTTAAATGAATCTGTATACTGGGGTAGGGCTTGTTTTCTGTCCCAGATATTAAATTCTTTCTACATTTCTCAAGAACTTGATTCCTGAGAACTACTCTTATTTAGAATGAAAATCAGAAACATGTTTATGCCCCATTCATATTTCAGACTATGAAGTGTTGTCATAAACGTTTTCATATTTGCTTTCTGTGAGGGGAGCATTGGGCTCTAAGAATGGGTCTCTTATTGAGTTTTAATGGTACAATTCGCACAACAGAACATGAAACATTTATGTTTTCATCATTTTCCAAGCGAAATGAATAGACTGCTTCCATATTTGGTTCCATCTGGATCAGAGGTGGGTTTCAACAGGTTCTGACCAGTTCTGGAGAACCGGTAGCGGAAATTTTGAGTAGTTCGGAGAACCGGTAGTAAAAATTCTGACTGGCCCTGCCCCCATCTATTCTCTGCCTCCCAAGTCCCAGCTGATCGGGAGGGAATGGGGATTTTACAGTATCCTTCCCCTGCCACACCCACCAAGCCACACCATGCCCACCAAACCACACCCATAGAACTGGTAGTAAAAAATTTTGAAACCCACCACTGGTCTGGATGCAAGGTTAGTTTTATCTGAAACTGTGGCTTTTTCATTTTTTGATCTTGCAGAATTGCAAAATACAAGACTCATTCCTAGTGGGTTTTGTTTTGTTTGTTATTTTGGTCAGAGAAATGCATGTGTCCTATCCATGTAGAGCATTGATTAGTACTATAAGGTAGTGTTTTCCAGTCAGCATAGTTGGCTGAGGAATTCTGGGAATTGAAGTCCACCCATCTTCAACTAGCCAAGATTGAGAAACACTGCTATAAGGTATTAGTTTGCTTGTCTCAGCCATCTAGCCTTCCCCAGTCACAGGCACAATATTCAGCATGAAATTCCTGTTTTGCATAATCACCTATACATTTTTGTTTGTTTAGACTTGAATTCTGTACTCATTGAAATGTATTATCACTACACATAATATTTCTCTGTCATTCTACACTAGATGTTCAGAAGTACAAAATACCAGTGTATTTTGTATAAAAACTTGGGAGCTATGCTAACCAGAAACATCGTATTCAGGTTTACATTCTCCATTTCTTCATGTATACTGGTGAAATGTGACTTGAAGGTTGAGGGATCTTCTGAAGTACACCTACAGATACATGGATGGGAAGAAGGAATTGCTATTCCGTACCTTTTCTTCATATATAAATCTTTGAAATGCAAAATACCAAAGTTAATATTATTTGCTTACAATTTAGATCAAGCCCCTTCTACCATGCCTAAACCTGAAATTGAAAAGAATCCGTAGGAAATAATTATGGAATTATGTATCTGAAAATAACTTGGGGTTTATTGCATAATTGTTAAACTTCCTCTACTTACGCCTTTCAGACCACAGGTAGTTATCAGTTTATGACCATTTATTTAATAATGCCCCGTACTTATAATGGTACTGAAAAAAGTGACTTATGACCCATCCTTGATGTTACGACCATCACACTACTGTCATCGTCACATGATTCCAATTTGGATGCTTGGCAGCTGGCTTACATTTTTGACAGCTGCAGTGTCCCAGGGTTACTTGATTACAAAATGGGACCTTCCCCGCTGGCAAACCCAATGAAGGAAGTTGGATCTGCTTAACAAGTGTGTAATTCACTTAAAAATTGCATGATTTGCTTAACCGTGGTAAAAATGGTCGTAAAATTGGGTCCATCACATGATGACTGGCATAATGACTGCATTGCTTAGCAACCAAAACTTGTGCTTACAAGTCAAGGACTACCTGTATCTACATAACATTAGTGATAGCAATAGCACTTAGATTTATATATCGCTTCACGGTGTTTTACAGCCCTCTCTAATAAGCAGTTTACAGAATCAGCATATTGTCCCCAACCATTGAGGTCCTTATTTTTCTGACCTCGGAAGGATGGAAGGCTGAATCAACCTTAAACCGGTCAGAATTGAACTGCTGGGAGTAGGCAGAGTTAGCATGCAATACTGCATTCTAACCACTGTGCTACCATGGCTCTAGCGAAGTGCTGCACCCTACCTCATTCAGTTGTGGTCTGGTGACCAGCTATATTTTCTGACTATCATTTGCAGCAGATTAAAATAGTTGGTCAGATATTTTCTCCTGCTCTTACTTGCCTTTGGAAGAAGTGAATAGGTTCCTTTTGACCAATCCCCATCATCCTCTTCTTCTCACGACAGGCTGCTGTGGAGATTCCCCAGTACATTGGCATTAGCCTTTTGGTAGAAGGATGCACGGTGAAGAAGCCTCAACCTCCACCCCAAAGAAGCCCCCCTCCAGCCATTGACACAAAGAATGGCTGCATTGCTCCGCAGCAGCAAAAAGTTCCTAAACCGATTCACCGGCGCAATAACCAAAGTCTTCCTCGGGCACCTACCCCATGCTGGACAGCAGCAAATAACAAGACCGCAGAGCCAGGAGCTCCTGGAAAGGAGAACAAAGTCAAAGAGAAACCCACCCCTAGCAAAGTCGCTCCTTCAAGCTCGGTGAGGTTTAAGCTGCCCAACAAGCTCAAAGCAGACCCCCGTAACCGAAGAGTGCTGATGGCACACAGTATGGCTACGACGATTGTCATGACAGGAGATAAAGTGTCACAGCCAGCTCAGCTCTGTGCCAAATCGAGCTCTCAAGAATTGACTGCTAACCCCCAGGAGCCTACTGTCAATCATGCCAATGTCACCAGTATGGTAGGTAGGAAGCCGGGCCTGAGGCTACATCTGCAGGAAATCCATACTGTCTCTGGTGAGCTGCCTGTTTCTCATGCTACCTTTTGTTCCTCCTATCCGGTGAGGCCCAAAGTGCAAGCCCATTTGCAATGCTTAGGACACTCCTTTCTACATAACATACCCTTGCCCTCCACGCCTTCGTCCCCCAGGGGGGTGGATTTAGTTTCCACCGTGGAATTCAGTGCCATTAGAGCGTCTATGATCAAAAGGCGACTGTCAAGGAGAGGCAAAATCTACCCGGGACCCACGAACAACCCTCCCCTCAGGTTGATTGCTGTAGGCAAAAATCAAGCTATAGGGCCTAAAGAACGCTTCTTTGTGCCTACGCAAACAGATGATCATGTTGTTGGGAGTTGAACTCTCCTCCTTCCCAATAAAGTATTTTTACAGAAAAAAACTGGCCGGGATGTGTAATAGCAGGGTGAGTACTAGGCCAGGGTGAATGAACAGCTGTTAGGATGACCGTCTTTGGCAGCTGTGTGAAGAGAGGAAATAAACGCTTAGGTTGGGAGTCAGACAGACATGAGAAAACCAGGGACGACATCAAGGGCCAGGAACAATGGCCTCTTTATCACTTGTGGACTTCAACTCCCAGAATTCCTGAGCCAGCAGGAATTCTGGGAGTTGAAGTTCCCAAGTCATAAAGAGGCCATCTAGATTACATGGTAGTTTGGGGAAAAAAACAGGGTCCCATAGGTTTTCATAGGTGAGGAACTGGGGCACAGAAAAGCAGAGTGTAAATGTTGACATATTTTTTTTTAATTTATTTTTATTTATTTAGTTAGTTTGTCAAACATGTACGAGATAACAGGAATAAGTATAAACATGGATATTAATACAGGAAATGGGTATGACTAAATGGGGACAGTAGGACAGGGACAGAAGGCATGCTGGTGCATAAATGTAAACAGGGATGGTTCTAGTACCTAATGCAAATCAGAGAATGGTTGTAATATATTTGACTAAATATGTTCAATAGCTGAAAGAAAAAAAAAAGGTAACCAGCATGTTGAATTCAGACAGACAGGGCCAAGCAGATTATAATCAGCATGCTTGTACTGTAATCAGGCTTGGCTTCACAGTACCAAAAGGAAGGTGACTTCTGATGAAAATGGGTAAGAATTATGCCAGTAACAACCGGCAAACGTGAGTTTTTTTGAAATCTCCAGCATAATGCTAGGAACATGTAAACAGGTGCTTTCTGTTGGATTGAATAGGAGTACTATAAAAGGGTAGAAATGGGTTTTGGTCAGAGAGATGGAACAGAAGAAGAAGAGGTGACAAACTTTTTATACTGCAGGTGTTTTAGGTGATGGGAAAATGGCATTAGTTTTTTAAATCAGTTGAGATATCAAAATATTGCTTTTCAGATTCTGGGTTGTACATAGGCATGGTAGATCAATACAAGTCCATTAATTTTTTAAATTATCACATTTCTATACCAGTTTTTAAATTAAACATATTTAAAACTGGCCAGATAAGATCCAGAAATGGATAAGGGAGCCCTTTCTTAAAGGTACAAGATAACTGAGAAGCATCTTCTATCTTTGTTTAATTTTTTTTTTTTAAAGTATTGGCACATTTCCCTTTATGCTCTTTGAGGACCAGAGCTTTTTTTTATACTTCCAGAAATTGTCATATTAGGCTTTTAGAATAATTTAAACATTTTAATGGTTGACTAAAGGCTTTGTTTTCAGACTCCCTTAGCCAAATTGCACAAAGCAAGTGAAATCCTCAATTTCCATCAGGATGAAAATTTGGTTTGGCTTCATTGCAGCTAGCATTTCTAGTGCTGTGAATCTGCCAGCAGCAAAATGTCCAGATCCACTCTTTTTAAAATCCCCTTTATTATCCAGAATTCCTCATACATTGCAGCACATTGCTTCTAACACTGAAACAGAGAGTTTTTGTCTTTTAAAATCTATTATAAAATTGTTATAAAAATATAAAGGAAAATGTTTCTATAGAATGATCACATGCTTTGACTCTCTGGAGCCAACTTGATGTATCATGTTCCACTTTGTATATTTATCCATAAATTGAAAAGCAGGGTGACATAAATTGGTTGGCATGACGAGAGCCATATTTGACTTTTAAGTGATGTGTTGGGAGACCCGGTCCAAAAGGTAAGCAAGGGCAAAACAAAAACTGGATTTCATGAATGTGTACTTTGGATTTCATTCAAAAAGGTGCTTTAAAATATGAAGGTACCTAAATATAACAGCTGTCTGCAATTCTTTAGAACATGTTTTATTGCCCTCAGAGGCACCTTTCGGAATTAAATTCAAAGTACTGTATAGGCTTATTAAATACAGCTAGTATGATTGTTCCCACACATTTAACAGTGCCACATAGGTATCTCGTAAAATTTTTAGTTCAGCAGGGAGTTTTTAAAGGGCTCTGCTTAAAGATATTGAGAGGTGAAAATTTGAGGCAAGAACTTCAAAGAAAACCAAACCAACGAGAAATAAGCATGTTCAAGAGCCCCAAAATATTGGCTTAAATATTATTGGGGGAAGAGAAGAAGAAGCAGAGCTGAGAGTATATTACAGGTGGTTCTCATTTACAAGAACTGGCAACTTTGAAGGCAGAATGATTGTAAAGTAAATTGTCATGTGACCATTACCAATTACCTACAGTTGTTAAATGCAAAGTCACGTGACTGTGAATTGTGACTTCCTGCCAGTTTCCCCATTGACTTTGTTTGTCAGAATCTGGCTGTGAAGGTTGCAAATAAGCAATCACATGACTGTGGAAGTCTGTGAACATCATATATGTGTGCTGGTTGCCAAGCACCTGAATTACAATCACGTGAGTGTGGGAACACTGCGACAGTCACAAATTTGAGGCCTGGTCATAAGCCTCTTTTTTTTCAACACTGTCTTAACTTTGAAAGGTCTCTGAAGGGGTAGTCGGTAAGCGAGGAGTACTTGTATTTTGTTGTCGGTTTCATTTATTGTCCCAATAATGTGTAAATGGATCCTGTAAACTAAATCTCTGGCAGCCACTGTGTGGGAAATCCCCAAGCTGAAATGACAGCTTTGGTTGTTGGCAAGGATTATCCATTCTTTATAGAAAACTGATATTTGTTGTCTCTATGAATTTTGTGACTGAGATCAGACGCTATCCAGTTTGTATTCTCAAACCATTATGCAGCACCATCTCTGAGATACAGTGATAAAAATATTGCAGTTGAGTTTCAGCTGCCTGAAAGAGAAAAGGCCTCTCCCCACCTCATCTCACAGTTATATCACTGGAGCGCTCATCGGAGAAATTGCAATACAAGTTTTGCCTGGCCATATCTCCTTTCCTAGACAACGCAGCAAAAGCATCCCTCAGTCAGTGCATAAAACCCCAAGAGAATCTTCCTCCCCTTCATTTTCTGCAGATTTCCTTCTCTTCCATTTTGAAAAGCGCTGCTCCCTTTTTCCATGGTTCACATAACATTTACTACGCTCAAGATATTTTTAACCTGCTGTTTGAAGAGCTCCTGCCCTTAAGGAGAACCTGTGGTTTGCGATTAGTGTGTAGTTCTAGCACGTCCTTGTCTTTTGTGGGCCCCTTTGGCTCATGTGAAGAGGGCACAGTGGCTCAGTGGTTAAAGAAGCTGAGTTTGCCTGCTGGAAAGCTGGCAGCCTGGGTTTGAGACCTGCCTACCTAGCAGTTCGAAAACATGCAAATATGAGTAGATAAATAGGTACCACTTCAGTGATAAGGCAACAGCGTGTTGAATGCCTCAGCATATAATCATGCTGGCCACATGACCATGGAAGTGTCTTTGGACCATGCTGACTCCTTCTGCTAAGAAACAGATGAGCATCACCCTCTAAAGCCAGGCAGAACTGAAAGGGTTAACTTTTACCTTTTTGACCTATGTATACTTCTCCCAGAATTATCCTTTAACCCCCTAGAACTGCATCCCTGTCAGGTTCCAAAAACCAAGAAAGACATGTAGAATTACTTCAGAGAGGTTTCCTTTATTGTTCCTCCCCTATAGACAGAATCTTGCCAAACCATTTGCAGCACAGAATATATACTCTGAGATTGTACTCAAGAGGACTTATTCCCAAGAGGAGCTTTACTACCTCTTGGGAATGCAGCCCCTCCCTCCTGGGAATCCAGACTACATTCCACCACAATCCCCCAATCGGTGCCCTTCAACTATATGGAAATAACGATGCCCAGTATTCTTGAGAATAGCCACTTCTGGACAAAACCAGGTTGGGGACGCTCTCTAGAAATTTGTCTTTATGGTTTGCTAATAGGTGTGACTTAAACCATAATTAGTTTGGGAAGGGACATAGCCTAATACTGCCACCCTTCAGTTGACTCAGGCAATTTCTAGGTAATTTCTAATTCTGTTCTGTAGCTTTGGGTTCTTGTTTTTTTCTTTGACTGAACAGCTGCATTGAAAGGATGTTTCACTGTTTAGAGCCGTCCAGGTACTTGCCAGTAAGCCCGTGTGCTGTATTATTGGTTCCTCTCCAGGCCTGGCTGTTTCCTGCAGACTCCCTTGCCTCTTCTGCAGAGATGGAAAGGCTGTGGCAAGTTTGCAAAGGCTGTGTTGCTGTTCCAGAGCTGGGCCTTTACTTCCTGCAGCTCCCAAATTCTTCTACCGCAAAGCAGTCACCACTTGCCCGGCTCAGGTATTTTGTGAATTTTTTAAGTGCTCATAGGAGAGCACATTCTTCTTGCCTAGGAAGATTTCCTGATTAATCCTGCATGTCAAATAATGTTGGCCTCTCTGTGTTTCCTCCCGTATCCCCGCCTATCAAGAGAATGGCCCAAACCTATTTCCGGCTACAGCCTCTTGCAAAGATGTCACCCCATCCCCCCCAACAGACCTGTTTCCTTCTCCCCATCCCGTAACCGTTCGTCCTTTCTCCACCCATGTGCCTAGGATCAGCAGCAGCTGCCACCTCTTGTTCCGGCTTTTGACAACCAGATGTCTGTCTTGCCTCCTGTGGGGGGGAAAGATTCTGAATCCGCATTGACTAATTCTACCCGAGCGGCTGACTCTGTGTCTTCATTCTGATAAAACAGGGAGGAATTGCTCCGTGTGAGTTGCTCTTAGGAATTCACCTTGCTTGGCCGAGCCAATTTTTTTAAAAATTTTGTTTTTAGTGATTAAAGTTTTTTTCGAGTTGGTGCTGGGAATCTGAAAAAATAAGTGTCATTCAGAAAGGGGAATTTGATTCCTGCTGTGGCTCTCTTCGGGAGCTTTTTTTTCCTGTGATTGGAGGATGTTCTGAAGTTCTCGCTCACTTGTCCTGGAAAATAAAGAGGGTTTTTTGGTGACCCCCTTCCTCTTTGACACAAAAGAAGGGAAATGACTGGAAACCGTGGGAAATTATTATGGGGAATAATAAGACTGAATTCGTCAAAAGCAAAGAGACATCTGGGCCATTGAAGCAAAGAAGAGGGGAAAACAGCATTCGAGATTCAGCTACAGGCTGTGCTTGCAACAGAGGAACCAACTCAGAAAATAATACTTCATTCTTCTAGAAAACAGTTTCTAACATTATTTTAATGAATAGTTTATGCAGTTTTATAGCAGTGGTGGTGGGTTTGGTGCTTCTAAGTGCTGTATTGGGAGGAGAAAATTATTTTGAACATCCTGCTCCAACAGTGTGCATATTTCACAATAACTCTTTGGTGCCACCCAACTTATGTGCCAACATAATCACTGCCCATATGCGCCTATGTATCTGTGTGCAGGGCAGCCAACTCAACCCTCCATCTTGCCAAAATACATCTTTCTAAATGTTTTTTTCCATGGCCCTGCTTTTCCTCACCCTCCTTCTGCACAAGCCTGTGTTTTCCTGCTCTACTCAATATTCACCTTCTATCTTACTTCCTTCAAATCCACTACACACAAACATAGCTCAGCCATTTGGCTCCTCTATAACAATCTGATATTCCCTAAGAAAATGGGCATCTGCAGGGAAGGCCAGTGAAGAGTGGGAAACAATTGGAAACCCATGTTGGCTGTGGAATTCTGGGAGTTGAAGCCCACAGATCTTTAAGCCAGCAAGGCTGAGGAACACTGCTTTAGAGGGATGACATCGGCAATATATGTCCTGGAAAATCATCTACGGGACTTAAAAGGTGGAAGGATGGCTTTCCATCTCCAATGGTCCCTGTGCCTGCCTTAACTCTGTTCAAAAGTACAACCTGCTTCAATTTGGTTACTTCTGATAGGCAAGGTTGTGAGAGGCTTCTGTGGTGATGCCGAAAAGATGATAGGGAGTATGTGGAGGCATGCCCGCAGCACTTCTCTGGGATTCAGGGAAGTAGCCATGCCCGTTTCCAGAATACTGGGGAAAGACGTGGCTGCTTTAATGAGTTGTAGCCAAATGCAGTGGATGAAATTTGTAACATTGTACAACCTATTGATCCTGATAGGACATGCCATTTGGCCACAGCAGCACATTACCTTGAATTCTGTTTTGGGGTATTATAATCTAGGATGGGAAAGTTTGGAATTGTCTTGGATTGCTTCAGCTTGTCACTCAGGTGACAATGCAAGCAATTGGAGTGTTCTTAAATGTTTAGCTGCAGAAAGACGTTGAGGCATGAGATGACTCATAGATCTGGGGTATGCTAAAAATGTTTCAGTACTCACTTTATTATAAATAAGCACACTTTTTACTAGGTGCCCCATAGTTTCAGTTCAGGATATGCTCCCACAAATGGAAATGCTCCATGAAAGAGAAAAAAACTGGTCCACCAAAAATAACTGGACTATGAATACCAACTTTTCATTGTTCATACTGACTGGGAATGAGATCAGAGTACAACAGCACCTGACAGCCCCCACTTTCTTCACTTCTGTTCTTCCTGCTGCCTTCCATATTTTGAGGCACAATCTAGGTTAATTCTTATCTAGAAAGCTCTAAATCAATAATGAAACTCCATGCTGTCCATGAAACTGTACGTTCCTGTGCCACAGCATATTCTTTTCCTTGATGTTTCCTCCATCTACATGTATTTCTCCTTCAAAATTATTCCAACATTACTAGAACTTTCTAAAATGGTTCTTCCCAACCTCACTTTGCATTTTGTAAATTACTTCAGAGCTTTCTCAGCTTCTTCAGAGATCAATGCCCTTAACAGCAATTCAAACTCATTACTTTGGGGACTTTTTCCTGTTTCTATAGTTGCTTTGTTTTCATATTATTGTATTTAGTCATTATCAAAATTGTAGTAAATGTGAAAAATTCTGTTTACACTGGACGTTTGAGCATAGAAGAAAAATAATTGGAAGTTTGCTTTCCTTTTAAGCCACTAGCTAATTTTTATTTTTTGGTGGTGGGTGTATTATTTGACTGACTAGTTTTGGAGGTCCCATTTCCTATTTAGAATTTGGTTAATAGGACCTTTTGACCTTTGTCAAAAGGTCCTATAATTAAGCAAAGTATGGTTAAATTTTAATGCAAAGCATGTGAAGATGGAATTTTGAGGGTTTTTCCCCTTTGGATTTTTTTTAAAAAAATTCATAACTAGAGCATATTCAGCTCCACCTTTTATTGTTTTTGCATGGAAAACATTATTTGGAGTGGAGGTAGTCATAACCTACTCTGTCCTCTTGGACTAGGGCTGTAACTGTATTTGTATTGGGTCTTCCAAGGCCTTTCTCAGAGATTAAATTCATCTCTTGAGTGAAGGAAACCAATTGATCATAATGGAGTACACATTTTATTTTCAAAAAGTTCCAGAACCCATTCAGTCTATAAAATGTCCTTAGATGGCACTTGTATAGTCTTCTGCTTGTGATCTTGGTGAGATATTAACAGCCACAATGTTTAATCATGGCTTTGGTGATTCCTAAACTTAGGTTTCCAAGCACTGTAGGACTGAATCTCTCATCAACTTAAGATCCAGGGTTAGAAATCACTAGATCAGATGGACTAATTTATTCTGGCACAAGACTGCTTCTTAAATAAATGAGCTTGAAGTTCCCACATATTCTAGCATGCTATTTCCGTATAAATATATTTCAAATATATGTATTTCCTACTAGCCCTGGCACCATACATAAAAGGAGCCTGTGTCGTGAAGTGGGTAATTCCTCTCTCTCCCCCAACTCTGCTAAATTTCAGTGTTTCAGATTTCCATTAATATGCATAAAATATTTTTCTTAAAATGGGAAAGAATGCAATAGGATACCAAAAATTTTATATATTTATAAATTTTATTACAATCCATAAAAGTATGTATTTTAGGTAGTCAAGTATATCTTCCTTATTTTACTATTAACATATTTACACTGAGGTCTTGTAACAGCGTGGTTTGTAAATTCTTTGTACAACAATAAATGTTACTTTTATAATCTACTAGTCTAATCCTTGGAGAACTGTTTTAATATTTAAAGCAGACAAGTCAAAATCTTTTTCAGTGCTATGAAAAAGAAGAAAATGGGATAATCATTTATATGAAGTAACAGAAGCTGAAGCAAGCATTAGTAATAATGTTTTCTCCATTAGCAGTTCTTACTGCATGTGAGATAGAGCTAGAAATTTCCTTAGAACAGTGATTTCAACCTTTCAACCTTTGGCTCCCAGAATTCTGGGAATTGAAGTCCACGCATCTTAAACTTGCTAAGATACTGCCTTAGAACACAAGTAACTTTTAGATGTCTACCATTCTTTACAGAACTACTCTTACAACTAACAGAACTGCTTCCTCAAACACCTACATTTATGCCAAAATATGGGATCGGGAAGCTGTGCTCTTCTGGATGTTACTGGATTCCAACATTAAGCCAACACATTTAAGGCAGAGACATTATATACATTCTACTTCATAATTTAAGCCACTTTCTGGACTGGTCGCCAAAACATTACCGTACACGGTCACGTATAAGCCATACTGCAGATAAATTGTCCCTTAAAATTTTTGTGTTTTAATTTTCACAATTGGCATATCTGCCCCAGATGTATTTTATCTGCAAGTGGGCTTCTATATTGATATATATGAGATATAAGGGTACTTTAAAAATAATATTACCACATATACTTGCAGAACCCAGCCAAATTTTGGAGCTGTATTTTGGCTCCCAAAATTCTTGGTTTATCCATTAAGTCTCTGCAGGACTCCAAGATCAAGTATTTTAGATCTTCAGCCTAACAAAAGTTGCATATAGTTGATATACACTTTTTCCAGATGTTGCAAACACTATAGAGAAGGATAAATTTCAGTTCTTCTTTATTCTCTCTTGTCCATGTAATATAGTTGCATCAGGCCAAAGACCACATATAATTTGCTGCTTCTTGCCCATTTCTGAACACAACTTGTATTCCTTGTAGCAGAAATTTGAAAGTGAATAGGTAGAATTTGGTGTCTGGAATAAACTGTCTACAGGTATGGGCAAAGCTTGTGAAAAATATCCAGGTACTGGCTATCTCACTTTAAAAGTCTTTTCACCAACTAGTAGCCAAAAATTCGAATTGTTTTTGCAGCGGAAAACTTTTGTAAAGAAAGATAAACCTCTGGCTCTGATAACAGTCTGTGTCCAAAGTCCATACAGGAATCATTTCCAAATTAATCATGCTTCTCCCTTACGAAACAAGGCGAGAAAACTTTCATGTTAGCAGAAGGCAAACTTTCAAATCACAAAGGGCCATTCACATAGAACAATAATGAAAAAGAGCCAGCTGCGAAGGATAGGCACATGTTTGAATATGTGTACTTATTTTCAAGTTATGAGAACTGCAAAACTTAAACGCCTGTAACCAGAAATGATAAGAGGTGAAAAGATGAGGAAGATTAGGTGAAGCGTCTGCTATTTATTAGTTGAAATTTAATAATTAAAAGCCTTGGAAAAAATAAACTGTGTTTTACTGCTCGCGCTCTCCCTTAATTAATATTTACCTTTTGTGTTTAATAATCACATCTAATCCAAGCAACATCAACAGAGCTCACCAGGACAACTTTGAAGTCATTTGTATCCTGAAAACTAATTAAAATGTTCTATAAAATGCTGACATCTTGTATGATTAGACTATTTTCAATGTTATTATTTTTAATCCACAGCACAATAGCAGATGAAAAAGTTACTGTTGCCTGATCTAAGTCACTCTGAGAATATTTAAGAGTGAATTAGATAATGTTTTGACATGAAAACTGAGCTCCATGCAATTGAGAACAAGACATATTTTTCTCTGGAATCAGCAGCAACTGCCTACTGTACTGTATGCCAAAGAAGTAATTTATTGGCAAAATTGTTCTGCAAATTCAGAGCTCTCCTTTGCATTTTTCGATGCAATGCAACTCATTTGATAACTAAAAATAGTTTGGAAAAGAACATTCCCCTAATTTTTCTCTGCCTGGATGCTCAGCTCCTCATCCACCCAGCAGTCCTAAGTCAACATATAATTTGTTGCTTACTGCTTCTTAATATTGAGAAAATATTAAGTACATTTTCTTTCATACATTATCTAGATCAGTGATGGCTAACCTTTTTGTCGTTGTGTGCCTAAAGCACGCACACGCGCAATAGCACACACGCATGCTGGCACCCATAATGCAATGTGACCCCCTGCGCATACACACACGACCCCCCCCCCTTTTGGGCCTAGTAGGCCTCCCTGTTACAGGTGTTATGTCTGCCTTGTATGTAGCTTTATTCCTCTTTAGCATTCATCTCCATTGTTTTGTGATGCATTTCTTGCCTCTCTAGGATTTACCTCTATTTGCTTCTGTGAGGCACTTCCTCTTCCTGTTGTATATAGGTATTTATAAATATATAGGTATTTATACCTATATCTATATTTATAAATATAGGTATTTATATCCTTGATGGCTTGTATAGTGTTTTAACTGCATTTTGATTAAAACTACTTGAAACACCTGCAGCTTCCTGGGACCAAGAATGGGCTGTGGGGAGGGTGCACCCCCCCACTCCCGCGCATGTGCGCACCTCCCCCGCATGCACGCGTGTCTCCCGCATCTGCCCTGCCCATCCTAAAAATTAGCTGGCCAGTGGGAGCCACGCATGTGCAGTAGAGCTGAGCTGGGCAAGGGCTCTGCATGCCATAGGTTCGCCATCACAGATCTAGATATTAAGAATGCATAAATCCTAATAATAATAGGGCCTGGGTTGCTGTGACACTACCACACACACGCATAAAGTTTGATGGCTAAAAAAAAAAAAAACCAACCCAGTTCCATGGGTATAGCAGCTTTAAAAAAAATCCCAACCAATCAGAAATGCCTCCTTAATATATCTTCTGTAGCCAGATTATACCAGCTAATTACAAAATAGGTTTTTACTTAGAAATTTCCTTCCTCTCACACTTTCTGATAAATACTTTTTCACTATCAGTCATTTGTACGCCACCCGTTCAAGCAACTCTGGAGGAATATAATATATATCTGAGCCTCTTTCCAGAAGGAGCAGAAGCTTTCTTCCACAAGGACAGGACCTTTTCCTTGTGTGGGCCCAGATTTTAACGGCAACTGCATCCACTTGACTGGGCTGCCAGCAACGAATGAATCCAGACAAACGCTTTGCAGACTTTTTCACTGCTTGCTGCTCATAGGGGGCAGGTTAAGTCCGAGGTTATGAAGTGTCTGGAGGAAAAAAGGAGGAGGGGGGGCCACCAATAGAGTGCGGGAAGAACAGCAACCGTCAGGGAGCAGAAGTTGGTGGAGATGGAGATGAAGCTGCAAGCGAAACATCACTTGTTGCCGTAACCGGAGCTTTTGCATCACATGTTCCTCTAGAACCTATCAAGAGGTTGAGAGAGAAAGAGACGGAATACTATTATAAATAATTCCTATGTCAACCTACTTACAATCGTTATTTTGCAGGTGGTTCTCGACTTGCGACCATAATTGAGTCCAGAATTAATGGTTGTAAGTCACTGCCGTTATTAAGTGGGCTTCCATCTGACTGTACCTGGTTTTTTTTTACAGCGGTTGTTAAGTGAACGTGGTGGTTGTTAAGTGAATATTTTACCCAATGGGTGTTTTTTTTTGCCAGAAAGCAGAAGTAAATGCTGGAAACCAATTTTTAAAAATGTCAAAAATTGTGCTTTTTCAAAAGGCAACTGGACTTTGTTTTTCCTTGAAGATGTTTTGCTTCTCATCCAAGATGCTTCTTCAGTTCTGACTGAAAAACAAAGTCCAGTTGCCTTTTGAAAAAGGACCTTTGGGACAACCATGATCTGGATGACCGAGAATCTCCACAGATGTCAAAAATTGTGGTTATGCGACTGCGGGATGCTGCAAAGGGCCATTAGGTAAGCTGGTTGCCAAACAACCAAAATGCAATCACATGAACGGCGTTTGCAATGTCCCACAGTCATGTGACACTGTTTCATGATGGTTTTGTCCAAAACCAGGACTTACGTCTGGCTTTCGGCAAAACTACCCATAGCAAATCATTGGTTCGCTGAAAGAGCTTGGATTCACTTAACAACCATGTTGATTCGCTTAACCACTACAAAATTTCATAAAATCGGGGCGGTCACATGACTCACCCTTTTTTATGACCATCACATCATACCATCGTAAGGGGCACAGGCTCCATTACAGTCGTATGTCGAGGACTACCTGCATAGAATGCCTCTACAAATCTCAGGCTCCAGGATCAGCTTCCATTTTGCAATTTGGTACCTGTGTCCGAGGCGGAGTCTCCTCGGCAGGCAAGAGAAAAGGTTCTCCAAGAACTGTTCCCACCCGAGAAGAATACACGTGATCGCCTAGCACAGGGCTCAGGATCAGGGTCAGGTGTACCAGCATCTGGTTCCGGAAAGCTGCCACAGAGAACACAAGAGAAGAAGAATGACACCTTGAGCTGGCTATCCCCACTAAGAAACATCAGCTCCAACTCCAATGGTTTCACATGAGCTGCTAATATTTTTTTTTTTAAAAAAAACAGAGTCTACACATGACATCCAAAAATAAGATAAAATAAAAACAATAACGCTTCCTCACTCTCTCCCAATCCTCTGCCCAAAAATATAATCTACACCGGGAGAAAAAAATGGACTCAAAAGGCCAAGGCTTAAGTACATGTTTTTTCCCCCAGCATGCATTTTGCAAAGTGTTTGGAAATAAGTAGGGAAACAACGAAGTGATGGAACATGGAAAAACACAGGAAGAATAAGAGCCAGGTAATTTGGGCTGGAGTTGTAAGAGAAAGGGTGAAGAAAGAGCATTAAAATGAGAGACAGATAATAGAAACTAAGAGGTACAGGAAAAATATAACAGTCAACTTGCCAGGGAAGCCCCATTCTAAATAAATGAGGATACTATCAAGTTCCATTCAGTTTGTGGGAAATCAAGTATAAATAATACCCCGTTTCCCTGAAAATAAGACCTATCCTGAAAATAAGATGTAGCATGTTTTCACGCATGCGTCTAATATAAGCCCTACACCCAAAGTAAGCCCTACTTAAGTGCCTGCACAGCCGTCCGGCTGGCCACCCATTCCGCCTGGTTCCTCGCTGTGCCTTTAACACGAGGTGGGGTGGGGAAGTGGAGCTGCCCCACACGAGCTGACCTCAGGTCCCCTCCAGCCAGGCCATCCACACCCCGATAACTGCCTTGTGGCCATGGCATGTTGCTTGGCTTCCTGCTCCATTGCGGCTGTGAGCAAGCAGAAGTGGGCTGGCAGCCATGCGGGGTACTGCTGGACGGGGCTGCTAGAGCTGCCACCGCCGCGAGGCAAGGCAGGTGTTGGGGCGTGGATGGCCTGGCTACAGGGACCCTGAGTTAAGCCTGTGTGGGGCACATGGTGCAGCTCCACCCCCCAGCTCACGGCGGCAGCACTAGCCCACTGCGCAGCCTCCTGTCCCACAGTGAGCAAGCAGAAGAAGTAAGAAGCAGAAGACACTGGGGGGAAAAAACAAGGCATCCCCTGAAAATAAGCCCTAGTGCTTATTTCGGAGCCCAAAAGAAAATAATCTTATTTTTCGGGAAATACGGTAGTTTCTCTACAACCCATGAGAATCACAACCTGATCCTTACTTGTTTTTAAATGCCAAACTGCATGCTGTAAAGGTTTTAATGCATGCGGTTTGACAAGAAAAATAGATAATAGGTAGTCCTCATTTTACAACCGGCTGTTTAACGACCGTTCAAGATTACAGATGGCCTCAAAAAAGGATGCTTTACAGTCCATAAAGCCCTTCCAGGAGTCATAAAATGTTACTTGTGGTCATGTGACCAATTTCTGATGCTTGGCAACCAGCTCTCATTTACAACCAGTTGCCAAGTACCCTGCAATCATGTGGCCTCGGGAGTCAGGGAAGATTGCAAGCAGAGGGGATGGGGTGAACTGAAATCCTTCTGTGGGCTACAAGGAACTGAGCTGAAATCCGCCAGCCGAAGAATTTCTCTTCCATGCATGGAGGGGAGAGAAAATCCTGAAGATTTCAGCTCTGTTCCTGCAGCCCGTCGAAGGATTTCCCCTCTGTGCACTTAAGGGGAGGGAAAGTCTCTCAGTGGGTTGCAGGAACATTTGTGAGCGAAAGGGCTACCTGCCAGCAGGATTTCAGCTTCATACAAAGCTGAATTCCTCCCGGCAGGCAGCTCTTTTCTTCCATCTGCTTTACAATGCAGGAGACTGCTTAATGACTGCAATCAGAATGCTGGGATTGCAGTTGGTGAGCAAAGCAGTCATGTGGGCGTGTTGCTTAACAACCGCTTTGCTCAATGACTGAATTTGGGAATTGTGACTGGGAACTGCATCACTAAGCAATGTAGTCATAAGAGACATGGTCATGTGGCTGTGCTAACTTATAACAGCTGTTCCAGCAACTCCTGTTGCTGCCATTAAGTGAAACCTGTATAGTTGCAGCATCCCACAATCATGTCATTGCTATCTGTGACCTCCTGCAAGCTTCTTCACTGACTTTGGTTGTCAGAAGTTGTTGTAAATCAGAGGTCCAGGCTTTTGCTCTGTTCCAAGATGCCTCTCCCGCCTTCGTAGAGAGTTTTACACAAGCAGATAAAAGACTGAACAGTAACAGTATTCTAATTGGATAGAAAATATTAACCCCCCCCTCTCAAGATGCCATCCCCTCTAGGTTAAGATGATCTCATCCAAATCCGAGCCAAAAATGAAGTAAGCAGGCAAGATTCACAGAGCATGAGCCAGCAGTGTGCTGCTGAAGCCTGGCACCGTGACCTTTGACCTACTGACCTACAAGAAGTCAGCAGGGAAGGTGGCAAATAGCAATCACATGACAATCATCATATTTTCGAACTGGTTGCCGAGGTCCCAAATAGCAATCATATGACTGCAGCACAATTACGAGGACTGTTGTTAAGTACCTTTCATTCAGCACCATTATAACTTCTAAATTAGTGGACTTCTAATGTCCACTGAATTAGTGGACATTAAACAAGGACTACCCGTAATCCATTTTTCAGGAGAGTTCAATTGCTCACTTTGGGCTGTTGCCCCTTTAGGCCTCCTCTGCCTTACTGTAACTCACTTGTCACTGGCTGCAGCTGCAACAGGGCGCAGCCCTCCTTTGAGTCTAGCACTTTGTAGTACGACAGTGTCTTTTTTACCTCCTTGGTTTCGAGGCTCTTACGAGAAGGGGAAGCCACTGGCACTACCTGTAATCCAGACAAACATCAGCATTAGCACCTACGGTAGTAGACCACCAGTCAAGCGCAAAGAGTCAAGACCATATGTTAAGCTCCAGCGCAGAAAAGTTATTATTCAAGCCTATACACAAAAATCTAGTCAACTAATGGTCAGCACTAAACTGATGCTAGATAAGAGTCAACAGAATTCAGGGGGAGTGGGGCTAGACTTGGATCTTTTGTGGTGATGCAAGGATTCCAAACTAATGATGCGTTTAACTCCACCCTCCCCAGCTCTGCTTGTTCTCCTCCCACATTTAACTAAATCTGTGCCCATGGTAGGAAGTGCAATTCCAGATTGGCAATACTTGGATTTTTCTGAATCTGTTACTCTTCTTGTCCAGAAGACCAGCTACAAGCCTTCCAGAACCACAGTCTAAAGCTCCTCCATCCATGCCCCCTGTCCTTACCACGTCAAAGCCATCAATGTCCACCATCTTGAGGCCTGTATGTATTTCTCCTTCCGTAGCTACTGGAATCCTGGTAGTAACAGCACTGAAAACAATAGGGAAAGTGCATGAAAAAAATAAAATATTCCTTTAGGATTATTACTATTCCTAAATATTACTTAACTGATGCTCTCCAGATACTTGGATTGCAAGTTTTCCAACTGAGGAAACTAATGATTCCACACTTTCCCATTCATCCCCCAAATGGAAAACAATAGAAAATGTTTTCTCACCAGTAAGTAGCAACTGGCTGTTTTTTCTTCTTACGCTGACTGTAAAAACCTTGGAGATATCGGGTGGTGTTTGGGCAGCTTGACAGCAGAACAAGTCCAGAACCTTCCCTATAAAATGCAAAGTCTTAAAAAATATCCATCCATTCTTTAACAGGAGCTATTAATAAATCTCATTGAATGGACAAACCAGGGATTTGTTTGAGACCGCTCTAGTAATTTATGGTAGTAATGGGATCGGAACTTCAGACATTTTCCATTCTAAAATGCAGCCTGAGTTTACATCACATCATGGTTGGCTTAGCCCATAATCCTGGATAATCATATAACTGGCTTGAATATACTAACCAAATCAGACAAACTACAGGTAGTTCTTAACTTATAACCAATTAAGCCCATAATTATGTTGGGATGATCATTAAGCAGGTCACCATGTGACATACACAATTTTATTGTGGAAGTCAGTATGTCAGTAATTTTATTGTGGAAGTCCTTGTTGTGGAAGTCAGTATGCGAATGCAATGGGCATTAAGCAAATGGATGGTTATTAACTCATTGTTTCTACTGGGCATTTTTTTTGCTGGAAAACAGAAGTAAACACCAGCTTCCATGCTGACTGGGAAATTCTGGGAGTTGAAGTCCCCAGGTTTTAAAGTTGCCAAGGTTGGAGACCCAATTAAAGGCATCATATGATGGTCTACGAAGAAACAACATCGTTTTTAAAATCAAGCAGGCCTGGAGGCTAGATGATGGAAGAGAAGCATTATCCTGATATAACTTTTGTCTATCACTTTTACATTTCCCCCTGGAACTAGGATTCAGCTAGCGGTACGTACTTTTCTGGAGCTTTGATCACCTGGAGATTTTGTGGGAGATTTAGATTCTGGCTTAGCTGTGGCAGAACATATTGCAAAGTCAGTTCTTCTGGCTTGCCTGTTGGAGGAAGAGAGAGCCTATGAATGGCACACAGTCCAACCAAATCCCATTTACTTCTAAGAGATCTTTTCCCCTTTTCACTGGAGGTGTTGTCTGCCAGATTAAAATTAATATCAGTTCCCAATTTATTTTAAGAGAACCCCTATTATCTTCACGTCTCCTAAATTATAGATAGATAGATAGATAGATAGATAGATAGATAGATAGATAGATAGATAGAATTCTTTATTGGTCAAGTTTAATTGGACACACAAGGAATTTGTGTTTGGTGCATATGCTCTCAGTGTGCATAAAAAGAAAAGATACATTCATCAAGAATCATAAGGTATAACACTTAATGATAGTCATAGGGTACAGATAAGCAATCGAATTATACTAGGAAACAATCAATATAAATTGTAAGGATACAACAACAAGTTAGTGTCATGCAGTCATAAGTGGGAGGAGATGAGTGATAAGAACGATAAGATTAATAGTAATAGTAATGCAGACTTAGTGAATAGTTTGAAAGTGTTGAGAGAAATATTTGTTTAGCAGAGTGATGGCGTTCAGGAAAAAAATGTTCTTGTGTCTAGTTGTTCTGGTGTGCAGTGCTCTATAGCATCGTTTTGAGAGTAGGAGTTGAAACAATTTATGTCCAGGATGTGAGGGTGGTCTGTAAATATTTTCACAGCCCTCTTTTTGACTTGTGCAGTATACAGGTCCTCAATGGAAGGCAGGTTAGTAGTAATTGTTTTTTCTGCAGTTCTAATTATCCTCTGAAGTCTGTGTCTGTCTTGTTGGGTTGCAGAACCAAACCAGACAATTATAGAGGTGCAGATGACAGACTCAATTATTTGGAGAACAGTGCTAACAGAGCCAATATGCAAATACTTTCACTGATTTATAAAAAATGCTTCATCGTTTCATTTATACGAAAAGTATCCAAGGCATCTGTGCCATACCCCATTCAATCACAGGACTGCATACCTGATATAGGGATACCACAAGGTTTGTTAATGGCCACAAGGGTACCTGAAATACAAAATTGACAAGTGGCAATGAGTTCAAAACAATTCCAGAACAGGCTAACAGACTGCTCCATAATTCAAAACAATGCTACGGTGGGATTTTAAAAGTCACAGATTATGGTGGGGATGGCTTTGGGGGAATGGCTATCTTATTACACTTCACAGTTCCCATGTTCATTCCTTTCTTCCCATTTTCTTTTAAATTCAGGGGAAGGAGAGAAAAAATATGCAGACATTTGAAAAATGTACAAAGTGACTCAAGTTGTAATCTACCAGTTTCCCACATAAGTAGTCCTTATTTAACAATCACAAATTGTTTGTTAAGTAGTCACAAATTTCTTGTTAAGCAAAACAATCGCTAAGTGAAACCAGAACTGTGCTAATGATTTTACTTCAATTTTCTCATAAATGCAATGCTTGGTTGTAAAATTACTTTTTCATCACTGTGGTAACTGTGAATGATGCTAAATTAGGACTACCTGTATCAGCAGAAAGGATTCCATTGCAAATGTCTATGAATGACAAAACTAGCACTTAATAATAGCAATAGCATTTAGATTTATATACCGCTTCACAGTGCTTTACAGCCCTCTCTTGAGCGGTTTACAGAGACAGCATATTGCCCCCAACAATCTGGGTCCTCATTTTACCAACTTCGGAAAGATGGAAGGCTGAGGCAACCTTGAGCCGGTGAGACTCAAACTGCTGGCAATTGGCAGAATTAACCTACAATACTGCATTCTAACCACTGCGCCACCATGGCTCTTCTATGTTCTTTATGTATATTTCTTTTTTCAACAGTAAAAACCACTTTTGAAGTTCCATTGCAGAGTTTAGAAACCTACAAGTCCAAGTGTACATGGAGGTAGTCCTTGACTTATAACCATTTGTTTAGTGACTGTTCAGTTAAAATGGCACTGAAAAAGTGACTTAGGACCATTTTTCACACTTATGGCAGTTACAACATGCCCATGGTCACGTGATCAAAATTCAGATGCTTGGCAACTGATTCATATTTATGATGGTGTTCTACCCCAGCTTCGGATTCCCAGAGAATGTGACACACACCAAGCTTCGCAAATACTGTTTAATTCCAAACAAACCTCTTTCAAGAATGCAGGCTTCCCGTGCAAAGCGTCCTTATCAAAGTTATTAAGAACAAAGTCCGACAAAGGTTGGCAAGCAGCCCAGAAAACCAGATATGAGAAGTCGCTCGCTCTCCAAGATGCTCTGTAGTAATGAGACGTTGTTTCTAGCAAGAAAGCACTAGCTGCGTGCGACTTAAATAGGCTAAGGGAGTGGCCAATTATTCTCAAGCCCTACTCTCGAGTAGACCTCCTCCTGAGTAGCCACTCCTGCCTTTTGGCAGCCCAGCATGCCCGAGCATTGAGGAGAGGCTCCTCCACTTCACTCTCTCCATTGGAAGGAGCCTCTGGAGGTTCTGAAGGCCCTGGCTGAGTCTCTGCCTCTGGCATCACATCCTCTTCAGCCTCCTTGCTGTCCGACGCGAGCGCTGGCTGCTGGCGCGGCACACCAGCCTCCTCTTCATCGGGATCAGTCACGATCCGCGCAGGCCGCTGGCGGGCCACAACAGATGGTTCCAGTGTCTTAGAGGAGTCATGTAATCCCCTTTTGCGAGCTTCTAACAAGCAAAATCAGTGGGGAAGCTAGATTCACTTAACAACCGTGTTACTGCTGCGACCGGCAGCATCTGCGCGATAGGTGTCGGGGTGTGGGAGGCCTGGCTGCGGTAGTCCTAAGGTAAGCGGGCAAGACATCCCCCCAAAATAAGACCTGGTGCTTATTTTGGAGCCCAAAAGAAAATAAGACCAGGCCTTATTTTTGGGTAAACACAGTAGCTTAACAACTGCAGTGATTCACTTAACAAGTGTGGCAAGAAAGGTCGTAAAATAGGGCAAAGCTCACTTAACAACTGTTTTGCTTAGCAACAGAAATTCTGGGCTCAATTGTGCTCATAAATTGAGGATTACCTGTAAATGAGATTCAACATAGTGAATTATAGTTTGCTCAGCCATTATCATTTACTAAATAAATCACACTGGCTGAGATCACACAGCATAGCAAGCCAACATCAAGCCACATTATGGCTTAGCTCATATCCCTCCAATAGTCTTAAACAGAGCTGTGCTCCACCAAGCAAGAGGAAGCTTCCTAATCAAGTATGGTAGCACATTAAAGGCTCAATAAAACTCCAGTTCCCCTACTGGATCCAAGCAGATGTCTCTGGGAAAAGGAGAAACCCAAAGATGTGAAGGCAAAAGCTTGCAGCTGCTGGGTACTAATTTGGGATATTGCATGAAGGTTCTGTATACTCTTCTGCTCGTTCGAATCTCCTGCCATTCGGTTGATCATCCTTTTTCCAGTACAAGGATGATCAATCAGGCCTTCCAAATGTTGTTGGGGTCTACTTACCATAAACCCCAGCTGGCACAGTTAACCAAGGATGATAGGAATTTGAATTCAGCAACATCTGCAGGGTTCCCTACCATAAGAATATGAGAGAAGACACATACCATCCGCATGTACTATAGATGTTTTCAGTAGTTTCAACAACGAATCAGGCTCCAGTGACTTTAAGGGTTTCAAGTAGTTTATTTTATTGGGGGTTTTTCCCATTGACTTGTCTACTTTTTTGAGGTTCAGCAAGTGATACCTAAATGAAATGAAAATTGTTTTTAAAAAACCCACTTGTATTCTAAGCCAACTCCTATTTTCATAATAATTCTCTTTTTTCCCAGTAATTTTGTTATAGATGAATACCTTACCACCACTAGATATTCTTGGCAGTTAATGACTGGAATTATGCTCATCAAAAGGTTCATAAAACATAATGAGGGGGAAAGCTGTGGAAGTCTAGATGTTGCTGTATAGCAGTGAGCGTTTGGAACTGCAGGGCAGCAACATCCAAACCACTACTACTTCCTTCATTGTGCATAAGAGATCAAGTGAATAGATAGCAATAGCATTTAGACCAGGGGTGTCAAACTCAATTTCATTGAGGGCCACATCAGGGTTGTCTTTGACCTCAGGGAGCCGGGATGGGCGTAACCAGAATGGGCGTGGCCAGCTCGACATCACTCGTGTCAGGGGCACCTGTGGTGGCCAAGTGCTAAGGCAGGACTTCTCTCAGACCCTCCCTCACTCTCATTATTGGTCTGTTGTGTGGATGTTTGGGTGGGTTAGGGGTGGGGAATTTGTGGTGGGCGGGTGTTTGGGGATTGTTGTGTGTGTTGGACCTGGTCTTTGGGTGTTAAGTGAATTTCATTGTATACAGTGTATACACGTACAATGACAGTAAAGTATTATTGTTATTGTTGTTATTATATTATTATTATTATTATTATTATTATTATTATTATTATTATTATTATTATTATTATTATTATTATATTCTCCTTCCTTCCTTCCCTCTTCCTTCTCTTTTCTGTTTCCTTATTTTTCCTTCCTTGCTCTCTTCCTATCTTCCCATCTTTTTCTTTATCTTTCCTCTTTCCCTTTCTCCTTTCCTGTCCCTTCTTGAATGCTCATTTCCAGGGCAGCCCCGTGGGCCAGATCTAAGCACCCTGCGGGTCAGATCTGCCTTGCGGGCCTTGAGTTTGACACCCCTAACTTATATACCGCTTCACAGGGCTTTTAAGCCCTCTCTAAGCGGTTTACAGAGTTAGCATATTGCCCCCAACAATCTGGGTCCTCATTTTACCAACCTCGGAAGGATGGAAGGCCGAGTCAACCTTGAGTCGGTGAGAATCGAACTGCTGGCAGTCAGCAGTGAATTAGCCTGCAATACTGCATTCTAACCACTGCACCACCACGGATGACCAGGGAGGAGAGATGTTTTAATGTGAACACAATAAATGAATGAGAACTAGTCTAAAGGATCATTCCATACTAATTTAGAAACAAAGTTAGCATCATTGACTTCGTCCATCTCAAAATTCTCAAGGGGCAACTAGGTGTTTTATATGCAGCATTGCTGAAAACAGAGCTTTCTATACCTGAATGAACCTAATATGAACCTATACCTAAACTGAATGAACAAGTTTTAGAAATATCCATGCTTAGAAGTGGAAGCTTATGTAAATACATATGGATTTGCTATTCTCTTCAATTTCAAACCAGGTAATAAGAGTGGGCTGTATATAAATGAAACAGTCACTCTTATTTCAAATTTTCTTAGAAATACATTGAAATACAGCTACAGCCATACTTCCCTTGCTCAATTCCCATCAATTTCATTCATGAATTTATTTGGAGAGGCAGAAAAAAGTAGCTCAAGGTAAATAGCTTCCCATTTATAAACCCGGAGAAAGAAAAAACTATCCTGCACATCAATGTTTCTCAACTTTGGTAGCTTGCAGATCTGTGGACTTCAACTCCCAGAATTCCCTACATAGCTAGCTGGGGAATTGTGGGAACTAAAGTCCACACATCTTCAAGCTACCAAGTTTGACAAACATCGCTGTAAATATTGAACAAGGTTGGTACAATAAACAATTCCAATCAAAACCCGAAGGATAGCTGGTTTGAATTGTCTCTCAGCTACTTTTTCTCTTATAGGAGAACTTCCAGCCATTTCGGAGGTGTCTGCACGCATCCCTCTTTGTGAGAAATGCAGGCAAGGGATGCAAACCACTGAAGAAACGTCCAGGTAGTCCTCGCCTTACAACAGTTCATTTAGTGACTGTTCAAAATTGCAGCAGCATTGAAAAAAGTGACTCATGACCATTTTTCACCCTTATGACCGATGTAGCATCCGCATGGTCCCATGAGTTACATTTGGATGCTTGACAACTGACTCACATTTATGACGGTTGCAGTGAACCCAGATTCCCCATTTTGCGACCTTCTGACAAGCAAAGTCAATGGGGAAACCAGATTCATTTAACAACCCCGTTACTAATTCAAGAACTGCAGCGATTCACTTAACGAACGTGGCAAGGGAAGTCGTAAAATGGGGGCAAATCTCACTTAGCAACTGTTTCACTTAGCAACATCAATTTTGGGCTCAATTGTGGTCGTAAATCGAGGACGACCTATACTTTCATCCCTCGCTGCATCTCTTCCCGGCACAAGTCATGCCTGTTGAGCTTCTGCCTGTCACGCACCGCACCGACAGAAGCCCGGGCAGAAGGCGGCGAGCGAGTTAAAGATGCTAATGGCAACTGACCGATGTTTTTCTTACCAAGCCGGCGGGGTGCTGAAATGCGCGCGCAGCCTTCCGCGCGCGCGGACCACGCGGCGGAGGCTAAGCCCGAACATCCCCGAGCGCGCGGCGACTAGCCCGGAAGCATCTGCTGCACGGTAGACAAAACGTGCGACGTCTGCATAATCTATATAAAGAGGCACGGTGCCTGCTGGGAGATGTAGTTTCGTTCAGGAGAGAGAAGCAAAGGAAGCATAGCACCGCCTCTTTTCCCTGTTTAAAAAAAAAAACAGGAACGCCCTCCCGCTCCACAGAACAGCCATTGACTGAAGTACAAATTCGCGGGAGGCGGGGCTCCAAGAACAACACGTTAACACATGCTAACGCGCATGCGCTCTTCGGCTTGGCGGTCGCTCTCTTTGCCCCTCGTGAAGATGGCTTCGCGCGCGGGACCTCGAGCCACGGGAACCGATGGCAGCGACTTCCGGCACCGGGAGCGCGTGGCCGAGCATTACCAAATGAGGTGGGGTGTCGCGCTCATGCACCCATTAGGAAGCCACATTTTTGTTTTCCTCCTGTCTTTAAACTTGCATGTTGCAGCAACCGACTCGGCAGGACGATTGTCGTTTAGCTGCTCCTGCCGATCATTGAATTGGTGATTCATATTTGAAATGATTCCTCTGAAATGAGAATCAGTTACTGCATTAATTCCCCCTCCCTTTTATATATTTATATATATAATAGATAATAGATATATAATATATAGAATTTAGATATAGATATAGATGTATATGTATATGTGTATAATATGTGAATGTGAATGCTTTCTTTACATACATACATACATACATACATACATACATACATATTATATTCTTTTCTTTTCGTAGGCCTTTATGGGTATTTCTCTTTAGCCAGGTTCTTCCTACGGAAACCAAGGTTTCACTGAACTAGGGCTGCATAAAAATCTTGGTTTACTTAGGAAGAACCTGGCTAAAGAGAAATACACACACATATATACTGCTCAAAAAATAAAGGGAACACAAGCAGAAGACATCCGAGATCTGAATGAATGAAATAGCCTTATTAAATACTTTGTTCTTTACATACAGTAGTTTATACACTACTCAAACAACTAAGGGAACACAAAACTACTGTATGTAACGAACAAAGTATTTAATAAGGCTATTTCATTCGTTCAAATCTTGGATGTCTTCTGCTTGTGTTCCCTTTATTTTTTTGAGCGCTATATTATATATATATATATATATATATGGGGGGATTAATGCAGCAACTGATTCTTATTTTAGAGGTAGCCACCTCTCTATATATATATTCCTTTTCCCAAAGGCAAAAGATGGGGATAACATGCAGCTCGATTGCATTTGAATAATGAGATTAAACATTGCATTTGTTTCTCCTTAGATTACATTCTTGATGGCTTGTTCTCTACGTCACAAGCCTTCAGGATATCTACAAAAATACACAGCAGGTAGCGGTGGCAGCATTTAGCTCAGCTCAAAATAGCTAAACAGGATTAGTACTTGAGTGGGAAAACACTAGAATCTTTCTGGGCTGTAGAGGAGCCTGAGAAGTTGAAAAGCTTTCTGGAAGAATTAGTAGCCAACCATTCTCTTTATTATAGCCCAGATGATGTGCCTTTGAGGTCAGCCAGATTTGACTTGCCTGGAGGGACCTCTTCATTAATAAGATGCTCTTCTTGCAAGGTTTGAATGAGAAATGTCCTTGTTAAACCAACAAAGCCATTTCTCCAGATCTAAAGGGAGTTTACTGGGAGAAGTAAACAAGGAAAAACAAGGGTGGCAAGTATCACCTAGACAGGCTTTCAAATAGAACAAATCGATTCAATCCAGCTAACTTTAATGTCTTCGTTTTCCACATTTCCAATACTTGTTTCAGAGAGGTTGGCTGGAGAGGGAATTTGGGCCTCCTGCTGTTAAGCAAATCTTCCTTGTTTTCTTAGACATTGTCCTCTGCTTTTTGGAGTAGAGAAGATAGCTGTCTTAAAGTATCTTTATTTGTAGACAGAGGTTTTAGCAGGATTATTGTTTTATGCAAGTCACTTTTAACTCATGGAAACTTTCTAGAGAAGTCCCCACAGTCTTCTTGGCAAGGATTTTTTATTTCAAGGGTTCTCTGATGTCGTGAGTTTGGCCAACCGATCAAAGTATTATTTGATACTTAAGCCCACCTTGCTTACTGATTTATTTATGACATTTTTATCCTGCCTTTATCGCAAGGTGGAGATCATGCATAATACACCTTCCTCCTCTTCCTATTTTCCCCACAACAACAACCCTGTGAGCTGAATTGGGCTGAGAGAGCATGACTGATCAAGTCACCCAGCCAGCTTTCATGCCTAAGCCAGAAATAGAAGTCAGTCTTCTGGTTTTTAGGCCAGCGCCTTAACCACTATGGATTATTAGTTGATCGATACAGGAACTGACTTGGTTTTTACAAGTGGCTGAAAAAAGAGGTAAATAGTAAATGAAAGACAGACTCTATCTTTCCAGATCTTTTAACATGTTGTCGACTTACCAGATCTTTGAATGGGCACCGTTCTACCATATTGGAATGTGAGAGATTTGTCGTAAGCTTCTTTGTGACCTAGGTGCCACAAGGTGGTCGTTCTTGGCAGAGGTTGAGTTGAAGAGCCAGGGTAAATGTGGTTTAAGTAAATACTGTGTACAGCTGCCACACGGTGGCAATTTAGCTGGTGAAGCTTTTTCCATTGCAATATCATTACATTGGGAAAAACAGCCACCGAATATTTGCTTGTTATGCAACGATAAAAGCCCTGGGGCTTTGGGAGAAAAACATTTCTCCTGAATGCCTCTTGACCTTTCCCAGGAAATGGCTTTTCTCAAAGAAGCAAACGTCTATCTTGTAGTTCAGGAATCGGTAATGAAGCACCCATTGGTGATTTTTCTTAATAGCTGTCAGATTGTCTGCAGTAGCTGGATATTTTTTTTCCCAAAAGATTATTTTAAATGAAATAAAAGGAAGCGCCCATTGAAAAATCCAAATAAATCCAAATAAACCTAAAAATAAGTACCAATTTTATTTATACAGGTAGTCCTCGACTAATTGAGCCCAATTTTCTAAGCAAGTCAGTTGTTAAGCGCAGGATCAAACTCACCATTCCTCCTCCTGTCTTTTCTCTGCTTTCCACAGCGTATCTCTCAAGTCTGAGATTAAGAAGTTGATCTACATGCAGGTGGGCCTGTGGCTGTTGGTGGCAGCACAGATGTGCGTTGCTCACTTCAAACTTCTACCCCATGACAAGGTGGCCATGCCTTACCAGTGGGAGTACCCATATTTGCTCAGTATCATCCCTTCCCTCTTTGGCCTCTTCTCCTTTCCCCGAAACAACATCAGCTACCTGGTGATTTCCATGATCAGCACCGGCCTCTTCTCAGTGGCGCCTCTCATCTACGGCAGCATGGAGATGTTCCCGATGGCTCAGCAGCTTTACCGCCACGGCAAAGCCTACCGTTTCATCTTCGGTTTCTCTGCAGTCTCTGTCATGTATTTGCTGGTAGTGGTGGCAGTGCAAGTTCATGGCTGGCAACTTTATTACAGCAAAAAGCTCTTGGACTCCTGGTTTACCAGCACTCAGGAGAAGAAGAAGAAGTAAACAAGGGGTTGGCAGCTGCATGCATCAACACTCGCTTGGATGGAGGGGTGGGGAAGAGGGAGAGGTCTCCTGAGGGAGAGGGAGATAGTGCTCTTGGGTTTCTCTCACATTCATGCCGAGCAAATGGGAGATCCAGCTGCCTGAATGAACATTGAACTAGGTTCTGTGGTTTTACAGCTTGTGTGATTTACAACTGGGAGTTGTAGGCTTTGGAAGGGATTGAGGGGATCCTCCTTCCAAAGGAGAGGCAACTGATTCCCTTTAGAGCAGGGGTGTTAAACCTGCGGCCCGTGGGCCATATGTGTCACGTGCTGGCCACACCCACCCCCGTTTTAGTGAACGGGGAAAAAAGTTGTGATACGTCACATGACGACAATGTGTCGTCACGAGCTTGACAACCCTGCTTTAGAGATAACGCTTTCCTCACTTGACTTAGGCAGATGAGACTTGCTGGAGTCTCCTGTTGGTTTGAACAAGCCAATATTGCACTTTAAAAGATTCACCTGTGCACTATCTTGAATTACGCTGTGAATAATTGAATCCTAGTAGGAATAGGATAGCAGCACACAGCAAGGCTAGGAACCCCTTCCTTCCTTCCTTCCTCCCTCCCTCCCTCCCTCCCTCCTTCCCTCCCTCCCTCCCTCCCTCCCTCCAACTCCCACTTCAGAATATTATAGGATCCAACCAAGAGATGTTTGTTGTGTGTGGTCATGCTCCCAGGAGTAGCTACTTACCCTGGTGGTAAGAGCTGCCACCCAATTTTACTCTTTCTCCAGCCCTACCAACAACGGACTGTTGGTAGGGCCAAGCATTGAGACCTCCCCTGCTGAATTTCCCGTCAGCTTGACTTGCTGCCTTCCCCTGTAGCCAGCCCAGCCTTGGAGTGCCCCACCCACGTTCCAGGGACTGTTTGCCTTTTTTACAAGCTGCCTAGGTGTTCCAGGAATGGCTGCCGCCACCCATCTCTGCTCTCATGCTTGTGAACCAAATAAAGTGCTATCTTAAAGTCTTGCTCCAAGATCTTTTGTGGATTGGAAGTGGGTGGTTGGTGGCTGTGATGGGCAACTGATAGCAGTTACATAAGTGTTTCTTAACCTTGGTTACTGTAAGGTGTGTGGACTTCCAACTCCCAGAATTCCCTCATTTCTTAAATTGTCCATTTATTTATTTATTTATTTATTTATTTAAATTTCTATACCGCCCTGCTCCCGAAGGACTCAGGGCGGTGAACAGCCAGAGGATAAAACACATAAATACAAAAATTTAAAATAGAATAAAAGCGAATTAAATAATTTGGCTGAATTTAAAATACCCCATAATTTAAAAACAAATTAAAATTTACATTTCAAAAGGGGAGAGGATTTAGGTCTATAGTTGAGGTACACTGAGTTGCATGCAGCATATTTTTTCTTCCACTCTAGCTTCCTGGAAGATGTTTAACTCTGGTAACCTGATGGACAGTGCAATGGGAAAGACCAAATTTAAGCAGATTATTTGCCCCTCTCCCTCTCTTTTTCTCCCTGCCCATCAGGTTGCCAGCTAAGGAATAGATATTCAGGTGTATCTGTCCATACATGTTTTAAAACATGCCATGCACATATATGCAGGTTTTCTTGATGGCAGCCACCAGATTTGTAGAAATGTTTTTGCCTCCCCAGAGGAAGGAACAGCAGAACCATAATGGGGGATTTTAATTTCCTTGAGAGGGAAGAGGAGGAAGAATGGCTTAAAGAAGCCTAAAATTGTCAATTTTTCTTTTGGATAAACACATTTACCTGATGAAACGATATGTTTCTGACATAATGTTTAATACTGTACCACTAGCGTTAAGAGGCCAATGAAAATCCTGCCCCTGAGGAAGTCACATAATTGCTGAAGATTTTTTTTAATGTTAATGGAGTACAAATTAATCCTTCGTGATTTTTTTTTTCCTGTGGAGGAGCTGAAGAGCAACCTCTTATAAGAAACGCATAAAAAAAGATTGAATACGTTTATATGATTTGGTTCGGTTTGGTTAGGGATAAGGATCAAGAAATTAGAAAGGCTTTACTGGAAAGCTTCGAAATAAGATTTCAAATAGTATAGGCTATATTGTGCAAGATGTCCCACACAAAATAGGTCAGCAAACAGAATGATAAAGAGGATATCTGAAGGATGAGAAAAAGAAATTCACCAGTAAAAAACTACTGTTTCGTTCTATTTCTACTATACTTCGATTGTCTTGTCTCATTCGGGCACATTATGTAACTTTTTTAGCAAGAAAATACACGTTCCCTTGCTCCATTTTAGCCTCTCCAATCCCCACTCAACAATCCTATGAGGTAGGATGAACTGGGTGTGTGGAGTTTCATAGTTGAGTAGAAAGCTTTAAATCAAGATTCTGGTCTAAATGAAGCATTTCAAACACTAGAAAATAATTACTTTAATTATTATAATTGGTGCAATTTTCTAATTTCTACTTTCAAATGTTAGGAAAGTAAACCAAATTCCATTTTCTCAGTAATGTGTTTTTTAAAGTGGGTCATGTTGTGTCTTTCTGCTTCTTTACGCTTTCTTGGAGCGTGGGGAGGGCAAAAACAGTCTTCCCCATCCCACTGGAGGCCGAAAACGGCCCATTTGCCGACTTCCAGTGGGACTGGAAGGCCTGTTTTTCGCCCTTCCCAGGCTCCAGAGCCTTTCTAGGAGTCTGGGGAGGGCGAAAACAGCCTTCTCCACCCCCCTGGAGGCTGGAAATAGCCTGTTTCCCGACTTCCGGTAGGTCTGGAAGGCCCGAAAATCAGCTGGCCGGTGCTGAGCTAGGGCAACACTTGCGTGCCCACCAATATGGCTCCGCGTGCCACCTGTGGCATGCGTGCCATAGGTTCGCCATCACGGTTCTGGGAGATCATCTATTTTGAACTATTTTGAACTGCTTGAAGTGGGACATCCTGAAGTATCCAAATAAATGAAGACCTCTGTTGAAGAAAAGCTCACTAGCTTCTAAAGTCATTAAGAAATCAAAATGTTCCTAGTATTCTACCATCCGGTTTGCCCAGCACTGAAAATGTGAGCGCGCGTGGCTTACAGATATGCACACGGCTTAAAAAATGTGGCTAAATAGGACAGCATAGCGCTGGAGTGGGTGGGCGGGGGCAGGCCCACCCGCAGGTCGCAACTACTGGTTTGCCCGAACCAGTTGAATCCCACAACTGCTAGTATTCCGATAAAATCTTAAATCTGCTTTTACTCAAGTTCAGCTCCTGTTCACTTCATGGACTCGCCCTGTATTTCCTTGTCTGTCTTGAAGGAGATATTTGTCAGTGCCTTTTCCTGGGAAATTATTTTAATTTACCAGCCTAGTTTACAACCCATCCAAGTATTACTATGATCTAATCTTTGTTGTTGTTTTGGTGCCTTTGAGTTAGTACTGAGTCCTGGCGACTGCCTGAACTAATCCCTATAGTGATCTTAGCAAGCTTTCAGAAGTTACCTCCTTCCTAGAGTGGAGAGGAAGGAACTGGCATAAGTCCCCAGCTGGCTTCACACCTAAAGCGGGTCTAGAATTTACAGTCTCCTAGTTTCTACCCTGATGCTTTAATCCAGGGATCTCCAAATTTAGTGACTTTAAGACTTGTGGACTTCAACTCCCAGAATTCTGGCTGGGGAATTCTGAGAGTTGAAGTCCACAAGTCTTAAAGTCACCAGGTTTGGGGACCCCTACTTTAATCATTGCAACAAACTGGCTCTTTGATTTAATGAAAATCAGCCAAGGCAGCTACGTGCAGCTATTTAAATGCAGATTGAGAATAAAAAAAAAAAAAATCACAGGGCAGTGGTTTACCACTAGCAGATTTCTGAAAACCGATGGTTGTTATGATAAACTGAGAATTCTGCAGTACACGATCTAAACATTTGTTCCTGGAATGTTGTACCGTAATGCTAGGAAAGTGGCAGGCATTTACAACAAGAAAAGCCACATTTTTCTCCTACTGAAATTATTTAAAATGAGACCAAAAAAAAATGCGGGCAAATTAAGCAACGTTTTTGCTGGAGTTTTGGTTGGGGCCAAGATGCAATGAATCTGCTCCAACTGGCTCTTAACATACTTTGATATGCCTAAGTTACTTCTTGCCAGTGACCCTTTCCAGAAGACACAGTTTTTCCATGCCTACTTTTTGGGTACTGCGGTTACAGTATATCTATTAATGGTTGCTTTCCATTCTTGAAAATACTTGTTTCTCCTGGGCTATTTGCCGGTTATCTCAGTTACAAGTGAAAATATTCTATTTTATGCTCTCTTTCATTCTGTGGATTCTCTCCTCAACCCACAGTTAAAAGCATAGGTACATTCATTTAGTGAGCATTCGAAATTATAATGAAAAAAATGACTTATGACTGTTTTTCACACATACAACAATTGCAGCATCCTTTGGTCACGTGATCAAAATTTGGACGCTTGGCAACAGGCATGTATTTATGATGGTTGCAGTATCTCGGAGTCCCCTCCTTTTGTGACCTTCTGACAAGCAAAGTCAACACACTGTTATTAACTTAACAACTGCAGTGATTCACTTAACAACTGTACCAAGGAAGATGGTAAAATGGGGCAAAATTTACTTAACTGTCTTGTTTAGCAGTGGAAATTTTGGACTCAGTTGTTGTTGTAACATGTAGAACTACCTGTATACAAGCAGACCCAGAAATACTGAAAATATACATGGATTTTAAGGGGGTGCGATCACTCAGCACTGAAAGATGCTGAGCTTGCCAGCTGAAAAGTTGAGAGCCCAAATTTGAGACCTAAGCATTGCGTGACAGGGTGAGCTCCCATTACTTGTCCCAGCTCCGGTCCACCTAGCAGTTCGAAAACATGCAAATGTAAGTAGATAAATAGGTACCATTTCGAAGGGAAGGTAACAGCATTCCATGTGCCTCGGCATATAGTCATGCTGGCCAAATGACCACGGAAAGGGTCTTTGGACAACACTGGCTCCTTCGGCTAAGAAACGGAGATGAGCAGTGCCCACTAGAATCAGACACGACTTGATAGGGCAGGGGTGTGAAACTCGAAACTGGCAGGCTGGATCCAGCCCATGTGGGGCTTGGATCTCCCCTGTGGGGCAGCTCCGGAAACAGCGAAGGATCGGCCTGTGGTGCCTCTGCCAGCGAAAAGGGAGCTAGGGAGGGCCACGGGTGGACCTCTCAAGCTCCATTTTCACTGGCAGAGGGTTGCAGGAGGCCATTGCAGCCAAAAACAGAGCTTGGGAGCCCATTTTCACTAGCAGAGTACTCGGGCCACCACAGGCACCCCCAACACGAGGGATGTCAAGCTGGTCATGCCCACCCTGGCCCCGCCCACCCTGGCCCGCCGAGGTCAAACACAACTCTGATGCGGCTCTCAATGAAATTGAGTTTGACACCCATGTGATAGGGGAAACTTTTATCTTTATACACAGTATTGCCTATAAAAGGGAGAGAGATGTTATTTGAGTCAGTACAAAACTAACTTGTAAAACAGTTCACACAAGAGGGAGCTCTTGACTGGTTTTTATTTTTATTTTTAAAAAAAGTTTCCTACAGCAAGCAAGTCTAAGTTAGTACTTTGGCAAAAGGCCAAGTACATTCAATGCAGCCAGTGGTTTTCATTCTTTTACTAAAGCATGAAGAGCAGCGAAAGGCAGTGGGAGGAAAGCAAATTAATGTATCCTTTCCAAATAGAACCTGGCCCAGTGTTTCCTAAATTTTTTTCTCTCCCAGGACCCCTTCCCACTTTAAAAAATTATGAACAGCCCCAAAAGAAATCTTTGTATGCATTATATTTATCAATATTATTGTGAAATATTAAAACGAATTTGTACAATATTTATAGTACAATACTGTAATTTATAAATAACGTACTTATTGGTTTCATTACTATGATGATGATTATTCTCTTGCTTTGAATGTACACTGAAAGCATATACACCAAAGACAAATTCCTTGTGTGTCTAATCACACTTGGCTAATAAAGAACTATTCTATTCTATT